CGCCTATGACCATGGACTATCCATTACATGTGGGATATCACGATCAAGTTCTTAATATTGATGAAAGTGTTAATTTCTTGGGCGTGTGCCTGGACAGTCATCTCAAGTGGAAACAATATTCCGATAATTTAACAAAAAAATTAAGTACTGCAATTTTCATGCTTAGAAAATTGCAGCCTACGGTGAGTGGACAAGTTTTACGTATGGTTTACTTTTCTCATGTGCAGGCTCAACTTAATTACGATATCATTTTTTGGGGCTCTTCTTCATTAATGAAAAGTATATTTACTGTACAAAAAAGAGCATTAAGAGTCTTGTTAAGATTAGGGCCAAGGAGTTCATGTAGGGAAGGCTTTAAGACAACGGGCATACTTACTGTCCCCTGTTTATATATATATTCCATAGTCTTGTTTGTACTCAAAAATCCTGATATGTATCAGGTGAATAATGGCATACACAAATTAAGTACTAGGTGGCATAATAAACTACGTGTTTCCTTTGTGAGATTATCTTCCATTCAAAAGAGTGTGCATTTTTCATCCATTAGAATATTTAATAACTTGCCACACAATATATATTCCTTGAAAGACAATATTAATACTTTTAAAAAAAGGCTAAAAGATTATCTTATTTTAAATGCATTTTATTCGGTAGATGAATACATGGCATACAGGCAAGCATAATACATTATTGTTGTCTTTCCAAGATTATGTATTATCTAGATTTGTTTTATGACTGCTTTTTATTCTATTATTGTGTTTTTATTTTATAATTCTTGAATATTTTAATTGCTGAGACTAGATTGCATTTTGCAATGTCATTTTGCTGACGAATTCAATATCCAGTCCGATTCCCGGACAATGGATCTGTGAAATTATGTATCTATGTATGTATGTATGTAAATCCCTTAGGGATGTAACAAGTCGACAGGGTATAAGGAGTATTTACTTTGCTCACTTCCATGCTTATTTGAAGTATGGTTTAATTTTCTGGGGTAGTAACCCAAAAAGTAAAATTATATTTAAATTGCAGAAACGAATTATTACAATAATTAGTGGTGTGAGTAGATTGACATCATGTAGACAACTTTGTAAGAATTTAAACTTCCTTCCACTACCTTGTATGTATATATTTGGAATAGTATGCCATGTTAAACTACATTTAGAAAAGTTAGAACAAAATAACATAGTTCATAATCACAATACACGCCAGAAGTTAAATCTCCATGCTCAGTTTTGCAGAACAATTGCCTATAAGAAAGGAGTCCTGAACATGGGAATAAAATTATACAATAAAATACCAAATAAAATTAGGGAGATAGAAAAAATGAGACAGTTTAAAAAAGTAATGAGGTCATATTTGGTACAACATACATTTTATTCTGTAGAGGAATATATGTTAAATTAAAGATGGTATGTTCCTGAAAGGGGGATATTTATTTTTTTAATTATAGAAATTGAACTATTGTATGTTTCATGTGTATGGAACATTTTCCTATGACAGTGACTTGACAAGGAAGGAAGAATGGATTGGTTGATTGAGTGATGTGAAATGGATTGAATTGGTTACTCTGTTAGGGAATTTATGTTGTCTTAAATTCTTAATATAGTTTTATATGGTATGTTAGACATGCTCACAATTTGTGTATGTAGTTGAATGTTATAGTATTGTTGACTTTTATACAAATAATTTGACTTGTTCTACATCTGGAGGCTGTATTGCAAAATATGGATTTCTGGAACCAATAAAAATATGAATATGAACATGAACAGTGATGTCAACTAGCCACCCATTCTGTGGAGGAGGAGGATGAAGGAAGGCGGGTTTACCATTCTAAGATCAAACTGTTTATCCCCATACTTGCCTTTTTCCAATGCTCTATATGGGGACTGTTGTCACTGAGTGGGCAACACAGTGTTTTCCCTTGGTCAACGCATTCCTTTCAGCTGTAGTGAAATCACTTTGAGAGAAATGTATACTGAACAAAACTTTATGGTACAGCATTCTAGCAGAATCAGTAGTACAGGATAACCCAACTCTTCCTGCCCATACCATAGCCCTGCAAGAGTATTACATATTGTCTCAAAACCTTGAAATAATTCATCAGTAAACATTACAAACATGGTGTAAGTGTTACATTACATCATGTACTAAAACATTCATTCATTTACTTTCCATGAATCCTTACATGGCTGGAAGAACAGTGGATATTGTAATAGTCAAAGACAAGAGGACAGGTCCCATTAATTATGTAAATAAAAACTAATTATACTTAATCCATAACAATTACACATATTATCACACAAATCACAGCGAGTAAATCATTAACAGTTATAAAATATATATGTGAAAGAATGCACCACACTAATGACACAAGACTACAATAACGAAACATAAAAATATACTACTAGGCATCCAGCATATAACAGACCAAGATCATTAATTAATAATGAAGTTAAAATATTCCTCCAAGTGAAATTAATTTACCCTTTGGTACCTATCCTTGAGATAGGATTTTATCAATGCATTGGCCTTAACAACTATTCCATAAAATTCTACTTTATGCAGTGAGACAGACAGACATATAAAACAGATATTGACACAGTCAAAAGCTTTCTTCAAGTCACAGAAAATGTCACAAACTAATATTTTGTTGAAGAAAGTCGTCTTCTGGGATCTGGCGCCGTGTATTCTTCGTTTCTTCATAGTCATCGCCGTGAAAACCTCAAAACTTACATAATATTTTGTTGTTCAGTGCATTTAATATATCCTTAATTAATTTGTGTGAGGCCATTTTTGTAGATGAATTACTCCTAAAACCACAGTGTTCATTTATGTTGTTACTCATTATNGTTGGTGCAGTCTTGTATATATAGCCATTTCAACAACTTCTGAATATGATATAGGTCTGTAGTTAGTCATATTAGTTTCATCTGTTTTTAAATAATGGTTTTATTTCTGAATATTTCAACCAGGTGGTGAAGACACAAGGTAAAAGAGATCTGTTACAAATATGTTAATGCGAGCTAATGAAAGGCATGCTCATTTTTAAAATTCTAAGCTGAATTTCATCATAACCACTATATTTTTTTTGGTTTTAAATACTTAATTATATTTTCAATTTCTTTAGTAGAGGTATGGTTCAGTTTAATTTTTGGAAAGGGGGTCGTGAAAGCTCGAGACAGATAATTTGAATATTTTCCCACATCCAACTCTATAACGTGGCCAATGTTTGCATTACTGGTACTGATCCTGTCAGCTATTGTTCAAAAATAATTATTAAATGAATCTGTAATTACATCATGATTACCAGTTAACTTCCCATCAATGTTTAAAAACTGTATACTTGCATTATTAATTTTTCTACCTGTGTCTGATTTTATAATGCTCCAGGTGGTTTTCATTTTGTTACTAGAAGTAGAAATTCATTTATTATAATGAAGATTTTTAGCTCCTTTAATAACACTGGCCAAAATTTTACAGTTTGTTTTATAATAATATTTTAGATCTGGCTCATACCGTGCCAAATCCCTGGGAAAAAAAAGAATTTAATTCCAGTGTGCTCACTGGAAGACATGCACCCCGGTGCAAAATACTTTTCTTCCCACTTATCCTGCAAGTGTCGTAAGGAACTGAGCCCTCTGTTATTTTAGGGTGTCAACATTCATCAGCCGGGAAGCGCTCTGAGATTATCGCTAGCTGTCATAGCTGTTCATTAGCCACGAACTCTTTAACATGCCACAGGATAACTTATTAGTATTGGGTTCGTGGCAGAGTAAAGACACACACAGCTATAAACCTGACAACCCTTCGACAGTATAAACAAAGCGTTAGTGAGCAGTACTCACTAATTGAGAGGGAGATAGAAGTTATTAGTTTTTATGCTTATGACTGGGCCAATGCTGTATGTTACTTTAAATATAACCTTCCTGAGGACAGTCAACAGTCAGCAGCCAGTGGTATAAGTCGTCTGTTCGACTCGCTTAATAAATCTATCCTATCTACTAGACTGGACTTTGAGTTTTTCTAACTTCGATTGGACTTCGCTCCACTCCACATCCTGTTCGTCACATGCAATTTCCTGGCAATCCGGTAAAACACACAACTACCGGCGATCCACGTAATTTTCGGACATACTCGCAAGAGATCTAAATTTGTTTGTATGGGACGACAAGACTGCTCCGTCCACCTACCACTTTGTCTTGCACGTCGAACCATACAACACAAGAAACACTACAAAAATTATAACACAATCACAATACACTCTTACTTTCTTGAGATTCTACGGTCCTTCTTTAGGCTACACCAAAAGATGCTTAAAATACAGAAATACGATTTGGATGTAGTATCGTAGTAACACTATGACTTTATGTGTCTTTAATTTCACTGGGTGTAGTAAGCATAATAATCCAGGTACAAGAATAACACACAGATGTAAATTCGTGAGTACATGTCGATTCTCGTTTCACAAACATCAAATCAAAATCCCTACTTACTAATTAATATAATTAGTTGCACAATATACCTTAACATTTCACACGTAACATTATAAGATACGCAGTAATAATCGTAATAATGCGCCAACGCCCAAGCGGCCCAACCCGTGAAGGGAAATTCAAGATGCCAGGAGTCCTACTCTATCTACTCTATGGTGGTCAACCTTTGAATATTCTGCGTTTCAAACGACGAAGTTTATCAGTGATCGTATATGATGAAGAAAACGACTGCATTTTGTTACCATTGCAGTACTTAATTGTTCACTAGGAAATGGCATGATCCCATTTTTTGTTTAAATACATTGGGAAAGGATTTGGGACATAAATACAGTTTCTTCTGACCAATGTCTTTAAGGTCTTTAATATCATTCTGCGCTTCTTGTGTTCTTGTGGGACATCGGACCATCTTCTTGTAACGAAGAGACCGGAAGAGACTGCCGGCACGTTAAACGAAAACACACCAAAAAATATATCCTCCATTTCCTCACAGAGGGCACCAGAATGTAGTATCGTGTGTATGATAAAAGAGGCGGCAGGTGTGCAGTTAAATTATAGTGTAAATATTATCCAGCTGAAACTAGTGCCCTGCCTAGGATACACAGAAAGATATGTCGAACTACCGGGTATATACAAATTTAACTGAGTGTATTTCTGTATTTATATTATGATAAATTTTGTTACGTTGGATTAGAGTTTCGGACAAGGTTGACTATATATAGTAGCCCCGTTTCATGCTTGCTTTATTACTTGTCCCCGAAGATGAACGCAATACGTTTTTCCGAAACGCGAATTAACTTATGCTGGACTACACGATGTTAGCCCCAGGCGGCAGTACTCTTCACATTTTGTTACCCTTGATATACATGTTTTTATATCTGTTAGTTAAGATATAATATTTTTAATTGCAGCCAATCGATTCAAAAAGGGAAGAATTCAGGAAGTATTTGGAGCGAGCTGGTGTTATGGATGCACTAACAAAAGTACTGGTTAGTTTGTATGAAGAAGCTGAGAAGCCAGATGATGCTTTAGAGTATCCTTTCTTGGTTTATATTTTTATTACACTCGTGTGGTATAGATATGTTGCATTGCACACCATCAGTTAATTGATGATGCAGTATGTTTTCCACAGCACATTTTTGTGTGCTTATTTATATAAGAATTATTGTTTGTAAATTTTCTTGCAGTTATTAAATGCAAGGATTAAATTCATGTGTACATGGCATAATTTTTCACACTGTATATGAAAGTTTCTTTTGAGGTTTGGTGGGGGACATCTTGGTTTTAGTGTTTATAATGACAACAGATTTACATTTACATTTATTTTTCACTTCATGGATCCAGTCATCTCTCCATAGGCTGAATATAAAACATGTCACATATTACAAATTCATGATGACTACACATCATTCATCCTTGCTAGTTTCTCCAAGTCACATACAAAATGTATACCACTTTGATTCTCTTCTCAGCCTTAGAAATTGGATTATAAAATTCGCAAATCAAATCCCACTTTCTTAGAAACCTGGATTTCACATTCATTCACATTCCATAAAATCCTTACAAGGTTGAAATAACCAATATATATAGAAATTGTCCAGAAATATAAACTCATCTTGGTTAGAAATCAAGCAGTTGTCAAATTAACAAGTTTATAGTATACCAGATTTAAGTCACATCTAAAAATTTATCTTGAAAATAATAAGTAAGACATTGACAATTTTAAGATAAAAAATTCAGTCCAAATATTATTTACTAATCATGCTTATGCTGTATGACAGTTATTTAAAAACCAGTTTATAATGTAAGACAAGTTTGAAAGTTGAATATATGTAATTGATCGTATTACAGTAACCAGTTTACAATGTAAGATAAAGGTAATAAAGAGTACAAATAATAATATTTACAACTTTAAAACAGTATAATCAAATAAGATCTGTTATAACAGATAATTGAAGTTATTTACAAAAAAGCTTTAGTCAACATATTGGTTAAAATTTCAATATAATATAATTATGCAAGTATTATCTCATAAAAAACTCTTCCAATGTATAAAAGAACTAAAATACAAAAATTCCTATAACTTGCCCTTAAATCTTTCTATATCATTAGAAATTTCCTTAACTGTATCAGGAAGTGTATTGTATATTTTTACAGCCATATGATACACCCCATTTCCATATATCGCCAAATTAACCTGAGTCATATGTATATCCAGAATGTGTCTAGTATTTATTTCATAGTTAACTTTGTTTGAATCACATATTCTTCTGTTTTTTACTACAAACATCATCAAGGTGTATATATATTGTGTTCTTAAAGGAAATATATTCATATCCTTAAAATGTCCTCTACGTGAATCTCTCGAGCCATATCCTTTCATTATTCTTATGACTCTCTTTTGCTCCTTAAAAACTCTTTTGGCATAAGACGAGTTACCCCAAAACATTATACTGTATGACATGACAGAATGAAAATATGAAAAATAAACACTTTTTAATGTTTTCATGGAGACCATTTGTTTTGCATTTCTTATCATATAGCAGGCCATACTCAATTTTTTTACTTATGTCTTGTATACGACCATCCCAAGTTATGTCATTTTGGATAGTCAGGCCAAGAAATTTTGTGTAATTAGTGCCTGTTATAATAGTATCAAGATAGTATCTCCCATATCTTTATCACACCTAATTTTTGCAGTGAAATTTATATAATATGTTTTTATTATATTAAAAGACATTAAATTCTTTTTGAACCAGTCATCCAATATCCTGAATACTTCATTTGTTGTGGTTTTGAATTTTATTCTGTTGGCATGAGAAATCAACACACAGGCAGCCTCAGCAAAAAGTATGGGAGTACTCATCACCTCCAATATTTTTGGTAAGTCATTTATATCAATTATGAACAGCAGTGGTCCCAATATGGATCCTTGGAGGACACCGTTGGTTATTTTAGCCCAACTTGAGTTTGCTTTGCTACTATCTAATCCATTGAGAATGGCAGTTCTCTGTTTTCTATCTAATAGATATGATTCATATAAATTATATTGTTTGACCTTTATTCCATAATACCTTAGTTATTGGAGAGGGTGGGTTTCCCCGTGCACTGAGACCAGTATTGGTCCATTGTGCTTCCCTTTATGATATTCTACCAGTCTCTGTACCCTACTGATATTGGTGCGTACCATCAGTCCCGACCGAGCCAGCGAGTTCAGCCTCTACTGGCTTGGCGGTATCTATAATGCTTCCCCCATCTATCAGAGGCGTTAGAGACTACTGTTGGGCGGGAAATGTCCTTGAACTTAGCTCAGTGACCTCCTTTGGAGATATGAGGTTCTTTTACGTGCCGTAAAGCTACGACACGGGACCCACGGCTTAAAGTCCCTCCCGGAGGATTTGTTCCCTAAATTTTTCCGCCCTTAAAAATTCCACGACCTCCGCCGGGTTTGAACCTGCGCACCATGAGTCATGAGGTGGGAACGTTACCTCTAGACTACGGAGGCCGCTTCCATAATACCTTAATTTGTTTAATAATATTTAATGACTAACACAATCAAAGGCCTTCTCCAAGTGGCAAAAAATCCCACTGACTTGCATTTTTTTTATTTAAAGAGTCTAGTATTCTTGAAATTAGACAATAGATTGCATTATCAATCCCTTGATTTTCTCTAAATCCAAACTGATATTTACTTTATTATTATTTTCTTTTAAATGTTTTAGCAGTCTACTATACATTACCTTCTCAAAAATTGTATTAATAGATGTTAATACGGAAATGGGTCTATAATTAGATACCAAGTTTTATCACCTTTTTTATAAATAGGTATAATAGTAGCATATTTTAATCTATCAGGGAAAATACCCTCGAACAAAGCCTTGTTACATAAGAAACTAATAGGTTCACTAATAAAAGTTTTACAGATTTTAAGTATATTATTTGATATTTCATCATATCCATGTGATTGACTTCATTTGAGGGACAGTATTATCTTTTCAGTTTCCCTACTCGTAGTTTTAGTTATTTTAATGCTCGGGATAGGTCTCTCAAAAGCATTAGTCAAGTATGCCATGTAGGTCATAGGTTTGGATTTATCATTTGGACCATTATCTTTGATATGTTTATGTATGTTATCAGCTACATAAGTAAAATATTTATTTAATTTATTAGCAATGTCATTGAAGTTAGAAGTAATTTTGTCTTCAGTATAGATTGTATGTATATTTTCTCTATTTGTTTTCTTTAGCAGTTCGTTATTTATTATTCTCCAAGTTGTTCTAACATTATTCTTAGAGTAATTAATTTGTCTATCATATGACATCTTCTTGGCTTGATTTATCACTCTAGTTAGTATTTTACAGTAATTCTTATAATACGTATTTAATATTGGGTTTGTTACGTTTTTTTTTTACTTCATCATACAAAGCCCTCTTGTTTTTACAGGATATTTTAATACCAGTAGATATCCATGATTTCTCTTTATACTTTTGCCTTGTAGTTTTTGGAAATGACTCATAAAAGTGTCTCAAAAATATATTTAAAAATTGATTAAAACTGGTATTGATATCACTATTGTTAAAAACTGATTCCCAATTTTTGTAACTTAATTTCATATTGAACTCTGCAATATTGTAATCATATATATTTCTTTTAACTAGTAATTCATTTATTATAGTGCAAAATACTGGAAGATGTGAGATAATAATTGAGCTTCGTGATCAGATAACCCATTTGATATGGATATAATCTCATAGCTTATAAACTGTCATTCATCAATAAATATATTATCAATAATTGAAACTGAATTAGGTCCAATTCTAGTAGGAAAATTTATAATGGTTCTTAGGTTGAAAGAGCTAAGAATATCATCCAGTTTATCTTTTTTATGGCAATTGTCCACGTAGTTGACATTAAAATCCCCACAAACAAAAACTTTAGCCTTGTTTTTGCACAATTTTTGTAGGATCAACTCTAATTTAACCAAAAATATATCATAATTGCTGGAGGGTGATCTATAAATAGTTAAAATAGATATTTTGTGAATAGCGATAGTAAGAGGGACAGCACAAGCTTCAATATCCTTGTCATAACAGAAATTGTCAAGATTTATATTGATGGTATATAAGTTATTTTGTACATATATACATGTTCCACCCATTTTAAACTGTCTTCTGCAATAAAAAGCACCTACTTCATAAAGTTACTTTATAGTACTATATAGTATATAGTACTATAAGTACTTTACTAGTACTATAAAGTAACTTAGGTTATGTATTATCTAGATTTGTTATATGACTGCTTTTTATTTTATTATTGTGTTTTTATTTTATAATTCTTGAATATTTTAATTGTTGAGACTAGATTGCATTTTGCAATGTCATTTTGCTGACGAATTCAATATCCAGTCCGGTTTCCGGACAGTGGATCTGTGAAATTATGTATCTATGTATGTATATCAAATTGGTCATTTTCATATCTCATGGGTCAAAATGTTCTGACCATTTAGTTTTAAAACATTTGGGTAATGTCCAAAGGGTCAGTCATTCTATGTAAAATCATAGTCTGTATATTCCAGTTTTTAGTTTTGTGCTTGAAAGCTGAGAAGATAAAAGATTCTGAATTAAGTTATGGCAAGTGTTTCCCAATTTTAATCAGTGTCTGACTTCTTCCTGAATGTACTTTTGTTTTGTTGCTGTTATTCACATCTGAAACTGATTACATTTTCTAAGTATTTGTAACCTCTATATGTGGTTTTGTCTTCAGGATTACTGAGTGTTTGGTCTTTTGCTATTGTCCAGTATTCTAAAAAACACAGTGTTTCAGAAACTGGATCTATTTCTGTCCTTAAGTGAGGGGGTGGGGGAGACATACTCTCTTGCATCCATTAGCAAGAGCTGACCCCAGTAATGTGTTGTCCTGACAGTTGACAAAGTCCAAAAACCCAGTAATCCCAATTGTCATACTCCATCATCAGAAACCTTTAGAATATGCTTGGTTTTGTCTTGCACTGTGGTGGTGAGACATGAAGATATGCTACACTTATTTCTGGAACACTGGAATACAACTATTAATGTATCAGGTTTAGGCATGTAATTTGCATGTGAAGCTTCATATGTTAGATGTCTTGGATATTTCTAATTCTTTTGTACTAATATGTGAAGTTCATATCGAGAGTTCCTTGATGCTGGTACAGTTATGTTCGCAAACATTTAGATGGAAGTGGTCCCGATTCAGAGGATATAGAAGCAATAAAAGCTGAGCTGGATGTCAGTAAAACTAAAATAGAAGAATTAGAACAAGAGAATGCTACACTTAAAGATAAGCTGTTACAGTATGAAGGACCAAGAGGTGAAAACGCCCAACGTGAAGACGCACAGGCAGCTGACAGTGTTGCACCTAATACTGAAGAGGAAGAAGGGGGACTAGCAGTGTCTCCGGGTCCATCAGAATGAACACCCAATGGGCCCAATGGTAAAGTCTGGTTACAAATAAGTTGTTGTGGCATAGCTCTTCCAATGAAAAATGGCTTGATATAACTTGGAATTTGACAATTATTTACAAGACATTTCCACACCAATAAAGGTTTTAAGCATTTTTTAAATGAAATAGGATACATATGTGATGTACTAGGTATGAATATCTATACATATTTGGTAAAATGAGGTAAGTATTGAAAATGCTTTGTTAAACATTAATGTATCATATGCCTTATGATTACTATGTATTATGAGTTCAGTAAGAGAAAATAGTTTGGTTTTCTGAACTTACATACTACAGGGTGTCTCAAAAGATGTATGCACATTTTTGCAAAGGAAGAATGATTATTAAAGGTTAATATTTGGCACATAATGAACTATTGTATATGTTCAAAATGACCATTACTAACTTCGACACTGTTGACAGCAACTCACAACTGAGTTACATTCACCAAGATATCTGCTGAGATGGCTACACATAATTGTTTTAGTTCTTAGAGTGATGCTAATTTTGTAAAAGTCATGTGTAGTTAAATCAGGCAAACATGGAGAATGCTAACTACTTGTTCGTTGGCATATCAATCATTATGGGAAATTGTCATGGAGTTAGGCCCTGACATCATTGTGGAAATGGGGGTGCCTCCTCATGCTGATAGTAAATTTCCTCATTGCTATACAGCTGAATGGCAGGTATAATGGCTTAATGGGTACTCCAAGCAAACTGAGGTACTCAGCACCAGTAACTCCTCCTTCGAAGATGTGCAGTTCCACAATACCCCCAGATGACACATCATATGAGGCTGTAAGTCCTGATAGATTCACTCCATTGTCAACATGAATATTCAGATTTTCAGATGACCAGTACATGCAAATTATGTTGGTTCACCAGACCAAACAACCATGTTGAGAGAGAATGCGTCCTCATGTACCTTCCTTTGAAATGATTCACAAAACAGCTTTGAAATAAAGATCATCTTCACTCATTGCATGTAATAGAACAGGGACATAACCTTTACAGTTGGCAGTTTTAAGAATGAAGTGTATGCTGCCCAGCTGATTTCATTCTCACTAGCACATCACTTTGTTTGTTTGTTTGGTTTTGTGTGTGTGTGTGTGACTATGAATTGGCAAGAAACCATAGCTGAAGTCTACCTACCAGATAATGAGTGAGGTGTCCCAGATTGTTGCCTGTAAACATCTTGCACAGTGCTGACAGTCTCAAATTTATCTCATATTCTTAATTGTTAGTCATGTTGAAAGCTCACTTGTAAGTTCACGTCTCCACTGCTTTGCATTTCACGCACATCTCGGAATTTCCAATACACTTCAGAATTAACTTGCATTGGTCAAATGTCAGGTGAACCTCCACTGTTTTGTATTATGCTCTGAATCATGGGTAAGGTGTTACAGTTTTTAATTGTTACTAATGCCATCTGTTAAATGCATGCCACACTACTTAGATGTTTGGTTCTACTCTGAACATCCAAATATTCTTTATAAAAATGTTTATATAGTTTTTGAGACACCCTATGTTGTTATTAATACAGGATAGTTCAGTCCATATAGCAACAGGCCATGGACTGGACAGCTGGGGTGGAAGGGGAAGATTTTTCTCTGTAATGTCCAGGCCAGATCTTGGGGCCACCCAGCCCCTGTCCAGTGGATGCCAGGGGCTGTTTCCCCTGGAGGTAAAGTGTCAGGGGTGTGAAGCTGACCACTCACTCCCATGTAGTGCTAAGGTTAAGAATGGTGGAGCTATACCTCAGCTCCCCATACATCTTCATCGCATGGTGCTTAATTAAGCACAGGGACTTTACTGTTATCTTTATCATTACCATCACAGTCACTTTCTAAACATACAATTCAGTGGATCTCACCAACTCCTGTAAGATAATTATGTAGTTCTATAAAAATAATCAATTTTTACATATTATGAATGTTTGTTTTGTTTGCAGAACAAGAAAATGCAGATGGACAGTAATTCTCATATTAACATCTATCCCCTTGGCCATGGCCTCAACTTGCAACCAAGATAATGCCGAGTAACATACGGGTATCAAGTGTCATCATTGGAAGTTCAAATGAAAGTGTTAAATAGGAATACTGTTCAGTTTTGTAGAGTGATAAAACTTGCCACATTGTGTTAAGATGTTTATTGCAATCATTTGATGGATATAGTGTTACATGTATATTTCTTGTGCTCAATGCCTTTTCTCCTGCCCTTTATGAAGAATCTGTCCAGTTTAAATTAAGAACAGTTTTCCTTTTTTGTTACAGAACGTTGAAGAGTTATTCATATAGTGAAACTGGATTTGGCACGTTACTTATCAGAATTTGTTTCTTTTGAGTTCATTTTGTACTTCTGGAGAAACCCATGAGTACACTTGTTTTCTGAAGTAATGTGCCTTCATGTTGCATTGTATTTATTTTCCCTTTCAAAATGAAATATAAATTTATTTTACATACACAGTCTGGTTTATAAATCATAAATAATACAATTTCAAATTTGCTTTATTTACTTATCTATAGGTGACAGATACAGCCAAGAAAACAAAATGTGCAAGTTCCTGACCATATTTACAGAATCAGTGAAATATGTTAATTCTTCTGTTAGCAGGTTAAATGCAAGTATTTTAGCAACAAAATATATTCTCTGCAGAATAACAGTACTGCATTCTATGTCGTTAGTTGAATGCTAAAACAAGAAACCGAAGCATTGTCTCTCCTTATGATAAAAATCTTTCAAAATGCACTATAAATTAGAATAAGTGGTTCTGCAAACTGATCAAAAGGACATCTTAATAAAGGTTAGTCCATAAATTTCGATTTAAACTGGATTATTAAGTTTCAAGTTTTGAAGAGGAGGATTTAGCAGCCTGCCGTTTTTTGACATCCCAGTTGTACACACGTGCCATATTCACCTCAGTTGTTGTAAACTGGTCCCTGAAAGAAAAATATGATTCCTCATTTACAGACAGAATTGAAGGTGGATATGATTTACTGCAGAGTAAGAATTAATATTAATTTCCAACATAGTCATGTAATACAGTAAGTGGAAAACCACAGAAAATATCAGTTAGAAAAGCTGATTTCTGGGTCAGAATTTGAACCCAGGATCTGTTGACTATAAAACTGGAATGCTATTCAACTAACTGAGAATCTACTTCATATTTCATGAAAATAAGAGGAATGCTCATTGAGGAAGTGCATATTTCACATGTCTTTTAGAATTGACTGTCCTCATTTACAACTGAGCTTCCTCAAACACTCATAATTTAGTTCAAGAGACTATGAAAAAAGACAACTTTGTTAACATGTCTTCTGAAGCTCAATATTCTGCAATAATTTCATTAGATTTGTTTGCTTACCTTTCTGCATCATTTTGAAAATGAATACTATTGTAAGAACATACTTCTTTCATGTCTATGCTAGCCATATAGACTGAAAATGCTGTATCTTTAGAGAAGAGTTCCCTTTCCAATAATAAATACATTTTTCTATAGCTTGGGTAAGGTCATATGTGACTGGCTGAAACCTTGAATTTTAACCCCAGTATTTGCTAGGAATAAACTGTTTCCCTTTTCATCTGAACTGACCTGCTGAGAAAAAGCTTTGTTTTGCCGAAAGTCATAAATGGCATGTATACAAAGATACAATAGAAATAAACTTCAATTAAATGACTTGCCTTAAAAAGTCTAAATCATGTGCTACATGTTCCAAGTTTTTCTTTGCTGCTTCTAAATTTTTCACCAAGAGATTAGTTGCATCTTCTAGTGTGTATTCCAGCATCACATTGGCCTGTGAACAAAAGAGTACATCAGTAGTCATACAAGTGAAGATGAAATTAACCAGTGGTAACCAATGCAAGGGCCCAGTAGTGATAATCTGAATGCTGCAGACAAGTAGCTTTAATTCCGTAAAACCACTCTTTATCAGATTTCTTAAAAAGTGATTGGAGTGTTAAGAAAGTGCAATAATTTTCTTTTTATGCCATAAAAAAGCAAACTTGCAACAGTATGAATATTGGTCTAGGTGTTTTACAAATATGGGGAAGAAGTTCTGAACCCAGAAAAAGGGCTGGTTTGCCAGTGATGATGACAATGATTATTGTTGTTGAACCGTTCATTGTACTCAACTAGAATAATTCATACTAATTAAGATTTATTAATTTAAGGCCATATAAATAATAAGCAAAGGTCAGACAGCCACATTCTTAAGTTCAGCAAGTGACATAATTCCAGTTTTGCTATGTGGGCAGGAAGTAACATCTGGTATATTTTCTAGAAGTCTGGTAGTTTTAGCTCCTGTGGATGGCCTTTGAGAACACAAAATTTGGCAGCTAAGCTAGGCTATAACTGAAGTAGGTGGGCTGGAGCCCCAAGCCAAACTCATAATACATCACAGAGTTAATACATAATAACCTAAAGTGCAAATTCTTGATGTGGTGTACATGATGGTAGCATAAGAAACTTGCTGCACTGCCCAAGCCAGACTCATACAACCCTAGATGAGAAGAACTCATCATCAGTGAGCACACCTTAGCTACTCCCAACTTGTCCCTGCTTACAAGATACCTTAGTAATTGTAGGTAAAGGGAACTTTGTCCCACCACCACCAATAAACACAAATCTCCTTCCTTCCCACTTCTCAACAGCCACGAGACAGGGAAGGAGTGCAGTGTAACTTCAGCAAAGGTGTCCAGGAACTAAGCACAGGGAATGGAGAGGCAGCAACTACGTAAAAGAATAAGCAGGGAGAAGTGACATTCCATAATATGGGGCGGTTACAGTTACAAGTGCCTCCTGAAGCATGGCATATAACCACACGCAGGGAAGAAACAGAAGTGGTGAGCTACAACATGGGCCATCATAAACATAGCACAACAGTGAGAAAGCATAATCGGTTACAAGTGGCGCCTAATCAAGAAGGCAGTTACAGAACTGTTCTAGCATGAACATTACAAAGTTTACTGTTTTGGGGCTTATCACAGGTTGCAGCATTTATGCATATAGTTTCAGATTCCTGTCCACAACATCGTGCACTGTACTCTTTAGAATCTGTAAATGACGGCTAACATGCCGAACAAAATGTTTTCGGGCTGCAGTGAAATCATACCTGAATGTGTACCTGAAATGCTACGTTTGGAGCATCGCTTTGTATGGGGCTGAAACTTGGACACTTAGGGCAGTAGATCAGAAACACCTGGAAAGCTTTGAAATGTGGTGTTGGAGAAGGATGGACAAGATCAGTTGGACCGATTATGTGAGAAATGAAGAAGTGTTAGTTAGAGTCAATGAGCAGAGGAACATCCTACATGAAACAAGAAAACGGAAGGCTAATTGGATTGGTTGTATTTTATGCGGTAACTGCCTTCTAAAAGAAGTTATTGAAGGAAAGATAGATGGGCGGATAGAAGTGATCAGAAGACAAGGAAGAAGACGTAAGATGCTGGATGACCTTGAGGACAGAAGAAGATATTTTCATTTGAAGGAGAAAGCTCTAGATCGCATCAAGTGGAGGAACTGTTTTTGAAGAGACTGTGAACCTGTCGTCTTGACAGATTACAGATGAATGAATGTGTTCAGTGTCATCTTGTGATGTGCTGGCCATCTGTCTAGAATTCATGTCACTAAAACTTGGACAGATTTGCATCAAATTGTCGAAATGTATCAACTCTGTGATTAAGCAGCGAATACAAATAACTAAAACTCCAAAAGAGTTTTTTTTTCAGACATTCTGAATTATAAGTAACTGTTTGCTGTAATGGGCACATTAACCCTTTCACTGCTAGTATGTTAAGTAACTCTCAGTACCCTCTGTGCTGAATTATTTTTGAAAAATCTTTTATAAATTTAATAAATATAATTTAAGTGCAAAGTATGAAAATTTGTGATAAAACGTAACTAATCTTACCTCAGACAGGGAACAGGCAGCAGAAGTTGCAAAAATGTTGAATTATTCAGTATTTTTCACAGGGGAAAAGTCCATTTAAATCAGGGTTGCCCACAATGGCCAAAAAAAGTAAATAATTCACTATCCTAGTCTTATCACTATGTCATTTAAAACTATTACAGAAAGCACCGTGCACTATATGAAGCCATTTTTACCAGCCACGTGAAATACCCGCATCACATGACCACGGAGCACATGCCTCCCTGTGCAGATGCAACCTTATACATTTCTTAAGCTAGAGAGCAGAAGAATGCAGCCACTGAAATGAATGATACTTCATTATATTCCCAACAGATGACTCTATGCACCCGCCAAGTTTCAATGAGATTGGTGCAACGAAACCTGAGATTTGAAACTCTAAAGTCGCAATATGGGTTTTGTCAATCGCAGCAAGGACGCCATATTTTTCAGAGATGTTCAGATATGTCGACCGCAGCAGTGTAAGGGTTAAGAATGTAATAATTATCACACGTTTTCACATTTATAATTAATTCTGCACGTTTTCACTAAATAATTTTGGTTAAACTCCTGTCTCCTCCTAGGCTGTAGACTTAACAATGCAGTAACCCACAGAAATAGAGGGAATCTGTTATTGTACCTACGTATAAAATGAGCAATGACGCCGGCTGTAGTGATTATAGAGTAGCAAATGTCATCTTCAAAATTTTGTTCAATATTTCTCTGGCACTTAACTCCGTACGTAGATAAAGTTAAACAGATAAACAACTAATTAGATGCAGTGGACATATGCTGCAACACAAATTCATGACAGCATGAAGAATTATTGCCATAAAGAAAAATCATTAGAGGCAATTTGGAACCTGGAAACGTATAAATTTTGCAAAAGATCAAATAGCAAATATTTATAGTTACTGTGTTATAATGGGTGATAAAGGTGAAGTTTATATAGGACTTAATAGTTGTTTTGTAATGTATAAACTAAAAAAAAATTAATAAAACTTGAAGTCAACACACAAAAGAGAAACTGTCATGGAAGTTCAATAACAGTAAATATTCTGACTTTGAATATTGTAAACAGTACAGTGGGAACCACTCTGAACGGTAGTAAGCAATGAGCAAATACAACTGCTGTCAAATCTACAGCTTAATTAGTCACACTTCTGAATCTTCTTTTCTCTATTGGTGTGTAGTTTGAGATCTTTTGTAACTACAGAAATACATTATTCCATCTGTCTAAAACTTATTTTTTTCCATCTTTAGAATTTCTAGAAAAATATGATAAATTCTGCAACATATGTCAAGGAATCTGCTGAAATGCATACTTACTCCAAGCCACAAACACACTTTGTCTGTTGGAGGCACCAATGCTTTGAAATAAACTTGTTCACACAGCAGAAACTCAGTTTCCATCTCCTTTGGATTATCACGTTGCTCCTGTAACAACTTGATCATATCCAAAGTATTTTCCAAGTCGGGGATTTGATTCTTCAGTCTTCAGGACACAGAAAAAGAAGGAAAATATATACATTATTTCTAAAGCCATATACATAGACTTTTCAGCCATCAGGATATAGAAATAAAGAAAAATATATGAAAATGCATATACATAACTCCCATACAATAAGTGGAGTGGGGTAGTGTATATCATTTGAAAGGTGTATGTTTGACTCAAAGTTCCATCCAGACCATGGTCAATAAACATTACCAGCAAATGTCTATATGCTGACATCAACAATGGCTGAACACAGCATCAACCTGAGTCACTATCCTGCTTAACACTACCAGTAACCTGGCCAAGAAATATATATGTAAGGATTGATCATATGGGAAGCAACAGAGTTCAACCACCACCCTACCAACACAAACAGGGATGATTGTTTCTTCCTGAGCAGAGTGGACAGTCATGTCTAGGAGGCTTGAGTTAATTGTGAGGGGATTGCAAGCCAGCTGCCATCCAGTGAGGATGTGAACACAGAAGCTGAGGAATCCACATTGTTGGGAGCAATAACCAAACAATGGCTAGTGAAGACAAACTGAGAAGACTTAGCAAGTACACACACTCACTCGTTCACTCATGGAGCTGAGCTCTTCTTGGGAAGCCACCAATTGTGCAGCTACTCAAGAACTTCCCAGCATTTTATGGAACCCGAAGGTTCATTACTGTGTTCACAAGAGCCCTCCACTGGTCTCTATCCTGAGCCAGATCAATCCAATTCACACCATCCCATCCTACCTCTCCAAGATCCATTTTATTGTTGTTCACCCACATACATCTTGGTCTTCCCAGTTGTCCCTTCCCTTCTGGCTTTCCCACCAATATCCTACATCCATTCCTCTTCTCCCATTCATGCTACATTCCCTGCCCATCTCATCCTCCTTGACTTGATCATTCTAATTATACTTGGAGAGCAGTACAAGTTATGAAGCTTCTCATTATGCAGTTTTCTCCAACCTCCTCTCACTTCATCTCTCTTCGGTCCAAATATTCTCAACACCCTGTTCTCAAACACCCTCAGTCTATGTCCCTCCCTTAATGTCAGAGACCAAGTTTCACACCCATACAGAACCACATGGAAAATTATAATTTTTATGTTTTTGGACAGCAGAAGAGAAGACAAAAGGTTCTGGACTGAATGGTAGCAAGCATTACCCGAGTTCAATCTCCTCTTAATTTTCTTATCAATCAGGTTTTGATTTGTTATCGTTGTTCCCAAATATCTGAACTGTGCCACATTTTCAAAACATCTGTTTTCTATCGTTATGTCATGATTTTGTCCTGCATTTTGGCGATGAGACAGCAACATACTTAGTTTTCTGTGTTTACTTCTAAACCAACCTCCTTACTTGGATCAATTAAAGTATGTGTTTTTTTCTTTAAAGTATCTATATTATCACCCAGTAGATTCAAATCATCAGCATTGACCAAAAGCTGCTGTGTCCCATTTAATTTCAGTCCCACCTGGTTTTCCTGGACCTTCCTAGTAGCATATTTTGAAGCAAAGTTGAAAAGTAATGGCAATAAAGCATCTCCTTGTCTTAGACCATTCTGGATAGGAGATCTATCAGACAAATGTTTCCCTATAAGGACTTTACTATAAGTTTTGTTTAAACACATTTTCATCAGCTTAACACTTTCATATGTATCCCAAACTCTATCAGAATATTGTACAATACTTCCCTCTTAATTGAATCATAGGCTTTCTTGAAGTCTACATATAGCTGATGTACTGTCTCATTGTACTTCCATTTTTTTCCCAATATCTGACAAATGTGAAAGATCTGATCTGTAGTTGATCTATTATGTCGAAACCCACACTGATGATCCCCAATAATTTCATCTATGTATGAACCCAACCTTGAGAGAAGAATATTGGATAAAATTGTGTATGAAGTTAACAGCAGTGATATCCCCGATAATTACTACTGTCAGTTTTATCACCCTTCTTGTGAAATGGTACAATAATAGATTTCTTCCACTAATTGGGCAATTTTTCCTTATGCCAAATAGAAGTAATTAGCTTATGGATCTTAGAACATAACATTTCACATCCTACTTGAATAAGGTCTGCCAGAATTTGATCACTACCTAGCGATTTATACCTTCTAAATTTTGCAATAGCAATTTCAACCTCAAAAGGGCTGGGATCAGGTATTAATGGCTCAGCTATGTGCATTTCTATCTGTCTAACATCACTGACCCTATGTACATTCAATAACTGAGAGAAGTAGTTCTTCCACCTGTTCAAAATGTTGTGGGAATCTGCAAGCAGATCACCATTCTCATCCTTCTCTAAGTTACTTCTAGGTTGGTAACTCCTCTTAAGTGATTTATTCCTCTATACAGGTCTCTAATGTTCTTGTTCTTACTGTTCATTGCAAGATCATCAATTTTGTCTTTCAGATATTCCCTCTTTTTATTCCTGAAATGCCTGCTGGTTTCACATCTTATATTGTTCAGATCATCTATTTATTTATTTTATTTATTCTATTGTAAAATTCGGTCGATTTAATCTAGGCTACAAATTCACCTGACAGATATAGAACCAGTCACAGACAAGTAACTAAAATACACATGCTACGAAAATAAGCATAGGTCAGATCAAACAATAAACCAAACTGTCTATCTTCCTACTTGAACATTATGTTTCCCTATGTATTTCACTTGGATCCTGTAACCATTGCAATTTGGCTTGTTTTCTTTAGTCTAGTAATTTTGAGCATCCTTCATCAAACCATGGCTTATGCTTCTTCAGTTCATAATAACCTAGACTGTTTTTGGCTGAAATTTTGATATTCTTTCTAATAGTTTCCCAGTCTTTATTAACATTCACCTCAGTGTCTTAAGTTTTCCAAAACTGCAAACTTATTTGAGATTTCAACATGACACTGCTCCTTAACCTCTGCCTTGCTTAATCTCTTGAGACTGAACCTCTCCATATGAACTTTGTGCATTGTTTGTTTACTCACTACCAGTCTCTTCCTAACCTTTGACACAACCAGGTAGTGGTGACTGTCACAATCTGCTGCCCTGAATGATCGGACATCAAGTATACTTGAATGCTCTCTCCTGCCTATCGAAATATGGTCAATTTGATTGTGTATCTTCCCACTGGAAGATATTACGATGCAGGAACATGTATGTACTTTAGACAGTATGATTTTTGGACGTGGCAAAGTTTACTTCTCTAACTCTGTTATCATTATTAATTTCGTGTAAACTCTCATTCCCAATTGTTGGTTTGAATATGTCTTCCCTACCTACTTTGCCACTGAAATCTAACATTTTCATATGGTAGAAGTTATCAAATACAGGTTCCATTTCTTCGAGTGATAGGATGCCATATATAATACAAATACTTAGCAAGTACTGCCGTGAGAAATCAAGTGCTGAATTAGTGATAGCAGTATAACTACTTGTAGTTATGATTTATAAGTGCTCAACAAATCCAGTTATCAATCCAAACCCCATGTCTAGTCACCAACATGTGACAATATGATATCAATATAAATGGATCACTTCCTTACCGTCTTCTCTTTGAAGCAAGGCTGTATTCCATAAACTTGTACTTGCTATGTTGTTCATCCAGTCTTCTAAGAACTTTATCTGCATCGCCACCATTTTCTTCTAAAGCCATAAATGCATCAACATCATCCTGGAAAATATAATTAAAGCTCATAAAGAACAAGGGCTCCAGAAATATGGCCATTCACCCTCCAACCACAGGTGAATTAATAAAGAATGTTAGTACATTTTTAGCCTCAGCCAAAATATATTAAGAAATTTAATATATAATTGTTTTATTGCTATGTGTAAGGAGCAAAAAGTGAACTCAGAATTCATTACTTCTGTTCCCAAACTTTAATATTTAAACTGGAGTTTTCAAATATATCATGTGGGAATATCTGTATGAAGCATATAGCAAAACTGACGGTTTTGGTACATGGCTAGATTTAAGTTGTATTTCTGAAGCCCTGGGTAACCTTACCAAAAATATACAGAATCTGACATAAAATGTCACTTCCACAATAGGGCCAACATACTTATTTCAGTATTAGATTTCTTGAACATGACTACGCCTGCTGTGGGACCTAGTAGAAAATAATCCATTGACATGCAGATCCATTTTGGACACAAACTGGCTACTGCACTACTGAAGGGTTCCCATCAATAACAATCTCATAATACTGTCACATGTCCAGGGTTCTGTGACTAATAATAATGGGTTCTGGATTTGATGATTTGGTTTATTGGCACTTCTATTAGAATTACAATCAATTATATTACCTCATAATCAATGACTGTCTAAGACTAACCCCACTGCTTGCTGGACTATGAGTGTGTATTCTCTTTTACTTTTATTGAACTTGGTTCTGATTTACAAATCAGTCACTTACAAATCACTAAGGATGAATGACAAATGAAAAATCACAAATGAGCTAAACTGAACTCACTTGAAATCTTGAATCAATTATGGGTCACCCTGTTATAACTTTGAGGCAAACCAAATACAGCTCACCATCTCAAACAGTTTCTCTGTTATTATCTGCTTATCTGTTGCTATGAAACGTGCCTAGTGACTTGTTACCCAGCAACAGAGGTCAATTAACTGTTGACTGCATAACCTCAGGAATGAGTTTACCGAACCACTGTCTAGCAATGGTCATATTCGTCACAGTATGACTCCTACTGTTGAACCTACGTTACACTTCACTGTATTTGTCTGTGCACTAGATTTAATATTGTATTTCAAAATATTCTTCCCAATCTCATATCACTGTTATGAAATAGTACAACAGAGGTACTGCAAAAATTATATGTAACTCAAAATATTGTTAAGTAACTCCATGAAACAGTCTGCTTGAGAAGCTGTGAGTTATTAAGCTGGTCAAGAAATTCTTCATTCTAAATGATGAGGATAATGATAGTATACACCGCTAAAGATTTCAACACCAATCTGATGGGAAAGAATGGTTAATGAAATGAATGTTGGAAGTAGTGGCAGAAAACAGGCAAGCTCCAAGAAAATTTGGTTTAGTTTACAACTATCTATGACAAATATCATGTGAATGATGTGAGCACAGTTTTAGTCCTTTACATAGGAAATCTGTGTAATGCCAACACTGACTTTCGTTCCATATCAGGGGTCATCAACTTTTTGGCTGCTGGCATCTAGATGGGTATTTAAATTAAAAATGGCACCAAATAAAAAATTCATGATAATAAGTAAAGTTATCCCTGTAACAGGCCGTGGAGGCCCATATGATTGTGAGAGGTTGAGGCTCCCACATCTTCTAGACACTCAGCTCACAGACGGAGGTGAGGTTGTTAGCCTCACACACCGGCCGCCATTTACCATCCCAGGAAGATTCCTGATACTCATTTTGTTAGAGGCTGAGTTGACCCCCAGGGTCAATACAGCTGGAAGGATTATGTAAATTGAAAAAAGTCCACCTCATCGGGACTCAAACCAGCAACCTTCAGGCTTGTAGCATAGTGCCTCAACCAACTAAGCTACTGCGTACACCCAATCATGATAATACTCAACTAAAATAAAACAATACATCACATAAACATTTTCCTAATCCTCTCTTATTCCTTGACACAAACAGAAGCAACTAAAAACGTTTGACAAAATGTCCTCCCCCACTTGCACACTTCTTAGTTTACATGTTTTAATCTCTAGAATTTATGACCTTTTTGTAACTATTCTTCAATACAACATCTCACGAACTAGGGATTTCGTTTTAAAATTTCAAATAATAAAGACACACTGCTGAAATTAGATTTCATTTTTTGGACACACTCTCTTTTTCTTACATCAGAAATTGGGGGGGGAGCTTGTGTCATAATCCCCGTTGTTAGATTTAAAATGCCTCTTGATACTGTTTTTTTCAGTTGCTGAAACTGTAGTATGACACAACAATCACATGGACTTCCCCTAACACAGAAGAAACAAGACTGTCCCACCTATTCACTACTGAAATTGTATGTTTCTTTAAGCAGATCCTAGTACACTTGTGCTGAGTAAGTAGCATGGTAACAGTGATATAAAATATGTCTAATATTATCAAGACTTGCATCTCTTTCAATAAAAACAATTGTGTCTGTTTAAGAGGTGGTTTGCAAAAGTAAAATTACACTCCTTGAGTGTACTGCTACATATAATGCCTGACTGAAATTGCAAGGGATCAGTTATGACAACTACAATCAGGGGATGGGAGTGAGTTACCCTACAGGCCAATGTTCTTTACCTTGTCAATGTACCAGAGACCGGACTTTGGAAAGTCCTGGGAAGATAGTCAAGACAGGGTAAACAAACTTCATAGATTAAATGAATGCAAAATACTGCTTGGGATCATTTTTCTTCTGAATTATATATTGCAAAGTTTTTAAAGTCTTTGAGGGTACCAAAAAATTCTTTTACAGGCACTGAGGTGCCCGAGGGCATATGGTTGGTGATCACTATTCTAAATTATCTGATAAAACAAAAGGCATAAATTACATCACAACTGATGTACTTGTGCACAAACTACCTATCACAAATCAACCACTCCAACAGATATTCAAACAAAACTTAAATTAAAATAAACCTTACTTTTTAAATATTTAAAGATAAAGAGGGTAATAATAGTGCTGTCACAGTTTCAATAGTACCGCAGAAAAAAATTATTAAATACAACTTTCAAGCGAATTTCCTAATTAACAAAATTCCATTTTCTCTTTTCATAATGTAATATTGTGATTCAGGTACAAAGAGGTCAGTCTTGTAGATTGCAACCGTCCTACACAAACATGTTGTTCTACAATACGGGAACCTGATAGTTAAGCCCACACTAACCCCAGTTCCCGAAGATTCTAGTAGTAATTTATTTTCTGACACATAATTTTAAACATTCGGAGACTTATAGGACGACTACCAAATCCAATGGAGAACACATTTTCAACCGAATATATGATTGATATCCTAGATATATGCCATTGAATTATTTTCAGCACGACTTGTACATACCTTGCGATAACCAGCTCCCGTACATAACTTTCCACAGAAATAAAACACATTATTTACTTACAACAAAGGCAGCCTCCGGAATACCTGCATACGATTTGTTTTTCTTGCCATCAACTTCATTACCCAAAATATCAACACCAGCATTAACAACCTCCATCTTTAAACTTTCTGCAAGTTAAATTACGGATACGCGCACTGCTAACACAGATTAAGCTACATACTAACTGTTACAAAACTTCGACGATTTCAAACTTACATAACATGATGAGATTTAAGGCATGTGATATTTACTAAGCCACGTGACAATATGAAAACTGTATATTTTTTATTACAATTACATTGAAACTAGACACTCAATTCATTTGGATCATCAGTATCATGGCGGCGATGTTGAAGGTAGGATGGCTTAACCGGCATATGAGGGAGGAAATTGTCATATTGACAGAACTCATAAAAGCAGAATACTTAAAAGGCGACATAACATGTCAGTTGATTCATTCATTTAAAAAAAAAAATTGTTTTCGTTAATGCTGTACTGATATATCCCTTCGGTGGCTAGTTTTTGTAGGGATATGACTTATGAAAATGCTCTAGAATGAAATAAGTAATCCCGTTTCTTACCTCAGAGTAAATGATTACTTCAGAATTATTTGTTTTGTAGTGTATGTTATTTTAAATGAGCCTTTCTAGTTGTGGTAGTGCCGATAATGCAGTTATGAACTATGTAAATGTTACTATTATATGTAGGTTGTGAGTTGACAATGTTTTGTTCCAGGATAAGGGACAGCTTTTGTTTGAGGATAAATGGCCAGCCATGAGACCACTTATCCTTAAACTATTGCAGCAGGAGCACGTATCGAAGCCTGAGTGGCAGGAACTCTTTTATTCGGTGCACTTGGTATGCCTGTGGGATGAGAAGGGACCACTGAAGGTTAAAGAGGCACTGAAGGATGACATAATGGATTTTATTAAGAAAGCCCAACAGGTGATAAACATGATACTGGCAGTGAAGCTTGGGTCCTTTGGTAGTATGATTTGTGTGTATTATAAGCTTGAGACAAAATGCAGACTTTGAAATTCAGTAGCAGCAATTTCATGTAAAAAAGAAATGACACTGAATGTACATAAGTGTATGTATGCTGTCATGTGCTTGTGAAGAAACTATATTTCTATTCAAAGTGGAGTCAGAGCACAGAATTTGTTAGTGACAGGATGTTGTATATTTTACTAAGAGGCTATTGGTGTGGCAGTATTGTTCTGAATATTCCTGCCTCGGCTGAGGATAAAAGTAATGACTCAAACCATAGGCTTTATGAGGAACTGGAGTTTGTATTCAGTCAGATCTTACATACTACATGAACATTTGTTATAAGATCTCAGTGTGATAGTAGGAAGACTTGACAGTGTGGAGCAGAATTGGAACAAGTGGAAGTTATGCATAGAAATGGATCATTATACACGTATACTGCAGTCATTGATGTATAATTATTGCTATTATGTATGTAGATTGAAGCATTTGATAGAAATTTTTATACTTTTTCAATAAATTAAATTATTATATCATTTGCTTTTCCTTTGCAGCGAGTACTTGCACATCATGAAGATCAAGCTCTTCTGAAGGCTTACATTGCTGAGTGGCGGAAGTTCTTCGCACAGTGTGACTACCTGCCAACTCCCTTCAGACAGTTGGAATCATCCCTTGCTGGCAAGAACATCACTGTTCAAAAGAAAGGTCAAAGTGATGAAAGCATAGTAAGAAAGGTGCGAATAATTTGTTATTAATTGTGTTTAATTTTGTACTTGATGGCCTTATACTGATAATGACACCATTTCACATTCTTCAGCAGGATGAGAAGAAAAATAAAGTAAGCTTATACCATTTCAACTGATAAAATGTGTACTTCAGAATATGTAGTGTGTATCTGATATTCAGGAGGTTTATCATTATCCCTGACTCTGTGTTGCCTCCCCCCACATTTATGTCACAAGTTTCTCTTGGTTAATGGTTAATTATGCTGGGCTCACCAAATGACTAAATCAGTTTCTGCCTGGTTCAGAAGTGTGGCATGCATGGGGATATGAGGTGCTATTGGAAAGTCTAGGTCAAAAAAGAAATGCTGGCTTAAGTTGCTCAAATTTGGCTGCCATCTCCTTCAAAATAAGTCTCCTTGGGAATGTATGCAGCGATCCAATCGTTTTTCCCATGCTTCAAAAGCACCATGGAAGTCATTTTCCTTAATGCTGTTGAGTACTGCTCGTGATTCTCTTTGGATGTCAGACACTTTCAAAACGTCGTCCCTTCAGTTCATTTTCAATTTTGGAGAGAGTGAAATCACAATGGGCTAAGTCAAGCAAGTAAGGAGGATGGGGAATGATAGCTGTGTTGTTGTTAGACACAAACTGGTGTTCAGGGACCTGTGGGTTGGCGTGTTGTCATGATGAAGGAGCCAGTTGTGGTTGCACCCAAGTTCTGGTCTTTTTCGTTGCAGATTTTCTCTGAAGTGTCTCAAAATGTCACAATAAAAGTCAGAGTTGACTGTAGTATTAGGAGGGACAAATTCATGGTGAACAATCCTCTTCATGTTGAAAAAAACAATGAGCATGTTCTTTGTTGAACTCCAGTTCTGCCGCGGATTTACTGAGCTTTACACAAAACTTTATGCAGACATGTTGCTCCATTTTGCCATCCATCATAGACAAAACGAAACACGAAGGCAAAAAGCACTCATGTAAAAACAATACATGTTCACAGCGTGGTGTCATGTGGCAGACTGATGCAATAGGCTTGTGGAAGCGTGACCTTGGCCTCCCCTCTAATCTTCTTTCACCGAGGCAGTTACGACAGCAACAGTCCAGGAACTTTCCGATAGCACCTCGTATATACACAGTTACAGTCGGAAAGCCTCAAGAAAGAGTCAGTATCAGACACGTAAGCAAAATAGAAGGATGCCATTAAAATGGATGTTAAAGGAATGGGATATTGGGATGTTGACTGGATTCAGCTGCTTAGTATAGTGCCCAGTGGCAGACTTATGAATGCTGTAATGAAACTTATGGTTTTATAAAAGCAAAGAATTTCTTGAGTTTGCACTTTGATGTCACATTGAGGCCATGTCATAGCTCAAGCAGTTAGTCGCTGGCTTATCACCGTGGCAGCCTGGGTTTCATCCTGGGTCTGGTCAAGTGGGATTTGTGGTGGACAAAGTGATGCTGGGGCAGGTTTTCTCAGAGTACTTCTGTTTCCCCTGCCAATCTTCATTCCATCAAATTCTCCATCATCATAATTACTCGGGGCAGGCTACAATAGGCCAATAAGTGGCCGCTGTGCCAAGTGGACCCAGTTGGACTCCACCCCCCACTAAGTGAATTTTTGGTGTCACATAATTGAAGAGACCAGTTATTCATGATACAAGCTTCCTGTAATTGTTATTTGTCATTTTAGCTAATGTTGGACAGCTGGAATCAGAGCATCTTTTGTGACATTAAGCAGCGATTGCAGGACTCAGCCATGAAGTTAGTCCATGCAGAGAGGAATGGAGAGGCATTTGATTCACAGTTGGTTATTGGAGTCAGAGAATCTTATGGTAATGAACAAGCAAAGTTATATGAGCTTTGATGAATGATATTTACTCCCTTAATGGCTGCATGTTCTAATGTTGTAATTTATTTATTTATTTATTTCATATCAATGGATCATTATACATGATATAGGACAAGTCAAATACTTTACAATAATAAATAATAATATATTATAATAATATACTAAGATAATACAATGATGATTCTAATAATAGAACTAATATAATCATTTAACACACGACACCGCTGTACGCCTCAAGACCCAATCCTTCTATCCTGGCACAAAATACCCTGGTATCCCCGATCTTGTTCCTGTAAGAAAAAAATGTGGAATAAGGCAGTAGGCATTCCTATAACATTACTAATATTAAAATCTACAAGTTAATTATTCTTGAAATATATGTTTACAAGTGATTAGAACTAGGATTTGATCCCAAACAAGAGAAACTCGTCTATACTATAGAAACAGTGATCAAGTAGGAATGTTTTCGAAGTCTTTTTAAACTTGTATAGTACTGGTATCTCTTTAATATATTCACACTGTATATTACAAGGGTCGCACTGAAAGTCATGAGCAACAGTTTTTTTTAAAGTAACATGCTTTATTATTGACAAACCAAATACACCACCTCAATCTACAGACATTTCTTTTTATTTTTCCACACAATTGCCACTTCTTTGTACACATTTCTCCCAGCGTTCTGGGAGTTTGAAAATTCCCCTTCTGTAAAACTCCGTTCCAGCCATCCGAAGACACTGACGCACTGCTTTCTGAATTGCCTCCCTTGTCTCAAAACGTTGTCCACGCAGCTGATCCTTCACAAATCCGAAAAGATGGTAGTCGGAGTGTGCCAGATCAGGGCTATAGGAGGGGTGTGGAAGAACTTCCCACCCCATCTTTGCAATTGCTTCCAATGTGGGGTGAGCAGTTTGGGGGTGAACGTTATCATGCAAGATGATGATGTTTTGACCCATACATTTATCGTGCCATGCACGATGGAGCTTGTGCAGCGTCTGGACATAACGAGCAGCATTGATGGTTTGCCCAGGTTCCAGGAATTTGGCCAGAATAAACCCCTCTGCATCCCAGAAGACTGTGCCCATCATCTTCACAGCTGATGGCACTGTCTTTGCCTTCTTTTTTGATGGAGAATGCAAATGGTGCCATTCCATGCTCTGCCGTTTTGTTTCAGGCTCAAAATGGTGAAACCAACTTTTGTCACCTGTCACAATACAGAGCAAAAAATCATCGCCTTCATCTCTGCAGCAGTTCTGAGGTGATGCCTTTTCACTGACCCCTGTGGTCTTCGGTCAATAACCGCGGGACCCAACGAGCACAAACTTTCCTATAGCCCAAGCTTTCAATCATCTCCTGTACTGCACTGTGCCCCACTCCAAGTTTTCGGGCTATTGTGTACACAGTCACACACCTGTCATCTTGAATGATCTCATCCACTCTTTCCTTCTTGCATTCAGTTAAGGCTGTTCGAGGACGACCGCTCCGAGGCTCATCTTCGATGCTGGTGTTCCCATCTTTAAAATGTTTCACCCATCTTCGAACACTGCTCACACCCATGCACACACTTCCATAAGCATGCTGAAGTCTCTGTTGAATTTCTGCAGCAGGGATTTCCTCTTTCACAAGAAATTCAATGACAGCACGCTGGCGAAACAACATATCGTTGTTGGCCATTTTGTTAGGACAAGACATCACAAGACACTCAAGGTTACCACAACAGCTGGTTCCACCTACCACCATACTCTCTTTCGTCTGCTGTTCCCAGGTTGCATGCAAAAAAAAGTTGCTCATGACTTTCAGTATGACCTACGTATATATATATATAAAAATTGTGAACTCTGAATTTCACAAATTTTTTGTGTTAAAATTATAATTTTTTTTGCATGAGTTATATATATATGTGTGTGTGTGTGTGTGTGTGTATATATTCTGAACTCTGAATTTTACAAATTTTTTGTAATAAAAGTATAATTTTGTTTTGCATGAGTTATATATGTTTGACCGCCTCTGTGGTCTAGTGGTCAGAGGTCCTGGGTTAGATTCCCAGTGCTACCAGATTTTCTGAGAAGTAGTGGGTCTGAAATAGGGTCCACTCAGCCTCATGATAATTGGGGAGCTATTTCAAGGAAATAGCAGCTCCGGTCTAGAAAACCGAAACTAACGGCCATGGTGATCTGTTGCGCTGGCCACGCGACACCCTCTATCCACTAAAGTTCACACTAACTTCGCCAACTAGTGGCGGTCACTCGGTCGGTATAGTTTGCTTGCAGACTAAAACCATGGTTTTTTTTATATATGTTTATAGTAGTACCAGAAGTATAGTAAAATCTGCAGAGAGGCACATTTCTCACCCACGCGTGAGCTTCGAATGTTTTGTTCATATCCTTGGCTTGGTCATGTATTACTGAGCATATTCCAGTATACTGGAATATTCTTCCTGTCCTACAGTATTCTATCTATTATTTGAAGATTAATGATCTTTTCGTTTCAGTCAATCTGTGTTCTAATCCTGAAGATAAGCTTCAGATCTACCGGGAAAATTTTGAGAGAGCCTATATGGATGCTACAGAAGAATTCTATAAAATGAAAGCACCTCAGTATCTTCAAGCAAATGGTGTTCAGAATTACATGAAGTATGCAGATGCCAAACTTAGGGAAGAAGAGCAACGTGCGCAGAAGTACTTGGAGTCATGTAGTGGATCAGTGCAAATTGTAAGCACATTACAGAATTAATTTGTGATTCAGTGAAATTAAAGAGTTGAGCATTCAAGGCATAACAGGTACTTATAGCAGAATTTTCTTTGGACATTATCCAGTGTCTGGCCAAAAATATAAGCAATGTGACCAGAACCCATAAAGCCTGTTGTATAGATTTGTAGCCCTACAGATCTCTTACTTTTAATTTTATAATTGTTATTTTATTTTATTTTTGTGGAAAACTTATTACTGAAGAAAGGCTGCAGATTCTGTGTTACATTTGTTGGATATGCCTCAGAGATTTACACTGTCACCATGTTTGCGTTTGCGTACAATATATTGTATGTGAGGGTTAGGTGTCTTTATGATCTACGTATACACCAAATTTCACTGGGTTAACCAAAATAGTTCATAAGTTATTGTCTTCAAACCAGAAGTAATAGAAAATGTTAACATGGCCAGCATGTTATTTTACATTCTGCAAAATATTATCTTAACAAAAGTTGCATATCTTTGGAAGATGTGATACCATGCATGGTATTAGGACCTCTGAAGTTTGAATATCTGCTGTGTTGTCATTATTAATCGTGGGAAATTAAGAAGTGTGTGACATGGTTGCCTTCAGTGGCATAACATTCATATCAAGTTTTGAGACAATTAGAAGAAAGCATGCTGATAGTCAGTGGCTATATATAATGAGGCTCACAGAGTAATAACATTTTGCTCCACTGAAGATGTAGAAAAAGCCAGTCTCTGCAAAGTATATAATTATTTATTCTGATTTTCTTTTTTAAAGAAAGGAATTGTCATTTTATATTACTATGCCATCTGTCATGTCTTTCTGTGCAAGCTTTCAACTATTTTATCAGTTTTTGTAACATCAAGTGTGAACATATGCCATGGGAGACCACTTAGTTTCCTACAGTCAATAATAGCATGACAAATGTATGACCTTGTTGTCGTTGTTGTTGTTGTTACTGGAGAGGGTGGGTTTCCCCATGCAATTAGACCAGATATTGGTCCATTGTGCGTCCCCCTGTGATATTCTACCAGTCTCTATACCCTACCGGTACTGGGGCGTGCCATCAGTCCTGACTCAGGTGAGTTCGGCCTCTACTGACTCAACGGTATCTCGATGCTTCCCCCATCTACCAGAGGCGTTAGAGACTACTGTTGGGCGGGAGATGTCCTGAATTTGGCTCAGAGGTTCCCTTGAGACATGAGGTTCTTTTACGTGCCGTAAAGCTACAACACGGGACCCACGGCTTAAAGTCCCTCCCAGAGGACTTGTTCCCTGAATTTTTCCGCCCTTAAAAATTCCACAACCTCCGCTGGATTTGAACCTGTGTACCTTGAGTCATGAGGTGGGAATGTTACCCCTAGACTACGGAAGCCACTAATGTATGACCTTAATTATCATCGCTTAATGTAGGTATGATCCTTTAATTGTGTATGGTAATAGATTTTTGAAAAATATGCAGCTTCTGTTAAGGTAATTTTTTGCAGAATGTAGAACAGTAACATGGTGGCTGTGCAAAGTTTTGCATGTAACTTTCAGTTTGATAGTGATATCTAATGAAACAATGGGACTGGGAGTATGGAATTTTAGTAGGGATGTGGATGCCTACAAATTAGGATAAGCTATTGTTTGTAAGTCAATTACAGACGCAGAAGAGAGGAGAGGAAAGCGGCAGAAGGCAAGTATGAAGGAAATGCCATGACTGCTTCATTCTACATCCTTGCAATTTGTTATTATCTAATCATCCTCTTGGTCAGTGTTAAATAATTGTATCTATTGACACCACCATTAAACAAAGACTTAATAAGAATAAATGATGATAGAGGTTATTTAGTAGTAATCTACTCTAAATTTTCTTTATTTTCTTTTGTTATAGCTTACAGAATGCTGTGTAAATGCTCTAGTAACAACATTTAAATCTACAATTCTTGCTGAATGTGCTGATATGATTAAAGGAAATGAAACAGACAGTAAGTTGTAATAATATACCTTGCAGCAGAATATACCATTTGCTTAACCTCTTTGCTGCTTTAATCAAATGTACTCAGTTTTCTTTTTTCAAGAAATTTTTATGAACATTGTAGTGAATCTTTGGGTTCCATAAAATGTGGTGAGTTTCTCAAGTAACTGAGTGACTGTTAGCTTTTTAGGAACAATTATACTGTAAGAAGTCAATCAGATTTCTCCTTGTGTTCTTGAGTGGACTTGATGCAGACTTCGGATTTATATTGTGGATTTACTGTATTTACTTTACACTTAAACTATTTCATAAGGTTTTGCCATCTTATGGGAATAATTTCAACTATGTTAGCTTATGTTATGAACATTGTATATTGTAGAAATATGCATTTGTGTCTGCTATCTGTTTCATGTTCTGTCTCCAGTCATGAGATAATTGTCCTTGGTTAAAATGGTTATAACTTTGGTCTGAATAACTAAAATTAAACTATCATTTTTATTATTTACGTTATTGTCATGAGATCCCTTACAGTTGATCTTAATTAACTTCTGTTTGTGCTGTTCTGATACCAGCTATGTTGTGCTTAGTTACAAACTGCTGAACCAATATCTTTTTGGATTTTGATGAAGCTGAAGTTACTTTTGAGAACCTCAAACCCCACATTTCTGTTAAGACGTTAATAGTGTATTCATGCCTGGGCCCTCACTAAATTCTACAGATGCTTCTCCATATGTAGGATAATAAACTATATGACATCAAGGAGCAGAGGCCTTGTTGAGAAGTTAATATTTTAATGTTATATTTTAGCATCCTCTTGCACTGATTCACATCCATGATTTGTATTTGTACCAACCGTCTTACTGTGCACACAATTTCACCTTTCTCTTCACTACATGTTTCGGCACTTATGTGCCATTTTCAGGTGTGGTTTCATTTACGTCAAACCATTGCACTCTATGCCATCATGTCTCCTTTATAAAATGATTAAAATGTATATATGTCATGTATAATAATAAAGTTTATATATTAAAACTTTTCAAGATTTATCATCTATACATCAGACTTCAAATTCACGAGTTATGTCAGTCCTCTCCTATGTGAGTACTCTTCCTATATTCTTGTGTATATTGTATCCTTGTGTCCTTGTGACTGCATGCGTTGTATTGCTCGATATGTGTGTGGATATGTGCAATGGTTTGACGTGAATGAAACCACACCTGAAGATGGCACATTAGTGCCGAAACATGTAGTGAAGAGAAAGGTGAAATTGTGTGCACTGTAATACAGTTGGTACAAATACATATCATGGAAGTTAATATTTGCTCAGGTAGTCCATAAATTCTTGCATTTTGTGGACCCCTAAGATCAGTGCCATAGTCATACGAGCTCGCCACTAGTCTTCATCTTGTATCAGATGAATATAGTCTATTCCTTAAGATCCATTTTAATATTACCTTTTCATCTGTGCCTTGTTTCCAGCGATCTCTTTGCTTCAAGTTTTCTTACGTCTTGTCCATTTATGAATGACTTGTTGAACCAGTGAAAGCCACTAAGGCATATAGGCTTCTGAAAATCATATACCACAAATAATTTCTCAGCAAAAGCAATTTATGCTGTATTTTTAATACATGGCATTTGAAATGTGTCTTATAGGCAGTTGTTGATAGTTTCATGTTCATCTTGTAATGTGGTTGTTACATGTTCTATACCATTCATTTTCAGAACTCCAGTTAATGTTTAAGTTAATGGATCGAGTTCCACTTGGTATAGCCCCCATGTTAAAAGACTTGGAGGATCATATAGTGAATGCTGGACTAGCAGAAATGATTGCTGCTGCTGACATCATTACACAGGTGAGACAAAATACAAACTCACAAATGTGTTCATGATTTCTGAATATATATTTTTTTTATATATGAATATCTGATGTTCAATTTTACTCAGTTACAAGATCATTTATACATAATGGTATTGGATTCAAGTTTTCAGTTTACTAGAGTACTTTTAGATGGCAATGTGTCTATATACAGGGTGTAAATATATAAACATTACATTGTTCTGTGGTAGATAGATATGTTCAGTCTGATCATATTTTTTTTAATACACCAGTGTCCAGAAACGTTTCTTTTTGACAATAAGGGTCACAAAAGTTTCCAAGAGGATACATAAGTTTTATGGGATGTTACTGTTGTTTTACACTATAAAAGTTGCTCAAAATGGCAGCCACCAACTACATTGCATGTTCTGCACCACCTGGCTATGTTATGCCGAACGCTTTGAAAGATTCCCAGCATTTCCCACATGGTTCCAGCTGCTACTGCAATTCTTGCCTCAAGATCATGTTGTGTCTCCACTGGAGTCTCGTACACCGGGCTTTGCATGCACCCCCAGAGAGAGAAATCCAGTGGAGTCAACTCAGGAGAGCAAGGGGGCCAGGTTATTGGGCCTCCACATCCAATCCATCTGTTGCCAAAAGTTTCATCGAAATGCTCACGGACGACATGAGTGCAGTGTGCCAGGGTGCCATCATGGTGGAACCACATTTCATGACAGACTTCCAAAGACGCCACTTCAGCTCGGGTAAGGTCTCTTGGAGAAATGTTAGGTAAATGTCACCAGTGAGCCACAGAGGTAAGGGGTAAGGTAAATAAACAACTCATCCTATGAATGTGACATCCTCTGCTACATCGGAGTCCTGTGGGTTGCCTGCATACAGGCATTCTCCTTCACATTTCAGAGGCCCTAGTACATTAACAGAGTGTTTCTGGACATGGGTGTATTAAAAAATATGATCAGATTGAACCCATCTGTCTACCACAGAACATTGTAACATATATTTCTTTACACCCTATATATATGTGTGTGTGTGTGTGTGTGTGTATGTGCGCGTGCGTGCGCACGCGTATGTGTGTGTGACATATATTGGTAGCTGCATATATTTTAATAATGTAAATGGGTATGTCTGTCCAGTATTATCACACTTTATGGACTAACTATCCCTCGTGTTTTACCTTGCATAGCCAAAGTCTGCAGTTGACAGATGTCTGAATTCAAAGAAATGATAGTGCAGGGAGTGGGTTGAGGTATATGTGTTAGGTCTGCTTTAAGTTATCGTTTTCAGTAAGTCTACAATGGTACAATTGTTAATAATGAGCTTGGCTTGCAAGGTTTGTCATGCATTCAGAAGTTGTGTATGACTGACTGACATTTTCTTAGATCAGTAATATCTCATGACTCATGGATTATACAGTTCAGCCAGCATTGTGAGGATACTGAAGTTTAGAAGAATGTTGGGTGGGCATATATATTAGACTCATGAAGCAAAATGGCAGCTAGAGTTCATAGGCAGTAAATATGACTGCGCTGGTGAAGGCCAGAAGCAATCATAAATGACAAACCCGTTTTCTCGTCAGAGAGGATGCCTTACATCAACAAACCTGCAGCTGTCAGGCAGTAATAAAAGTCTGGTTTTGTGCTTGACACCAAGACAGACTTGCCAATTGATCATCGATCATAATATAACTTTGACTTTGGCTTCTGAGTTAGTCAGTTGGAGGTTGGAGTCAGCAGTTAGCAGTCTTAAGTGTTGAGAGCTAATGTACATTGTTAGCTGCTGCTACCTAACAGGGACTAGTGAACAAATAGAAGACTTCATGTGAACTGTAGTTGTAGTGATCTAGAGTGTGTGAATGAGACTGTTACAGTTGTTTGTAGTTATGTGTTATAAGCATTCAGTGAATCTAGTTGTCAGTCCAAACCCTGTGTCTGTGCACTAACAAATTACAACATGAAAATAAATTTCCTAGTGACAAAAAATTAGTGGATATAGATTACTTTATGCATTGTGCCATATGATGTCCTTTCAATGACCAAACGAATGGAGAAGATGGAATGCAATGGGGAGACAGAAGGGTTTTATATTTAACTGGGTATAGTTCATTGCCAATGTTAGTGCAATGTGCTTGGTAAAATTATGTTGCTATAAAATAAGTCTGTGTTGATGCTATCTGTGGATCAAATCAATGTGTGAATATTATTCTTTAAGTTCAGAACTTTTAAAATTTACTAGCTATGCTGTTTGCAGGATTCTGAGAAGTATGTGGAAAGGCTCTTGGAATTGTTCAACCAGTTCAGCTTGCTAGTGAAAGAAGCATTCAATGATGATCCCAGATTTCTTACTGCCAGAGATAAAGCCTACAAACAAGTTATAAATGACACACAAGTATTCCGATTGGAACTGCCAAGTAAACAGGTAACATGTTAATCCATGCACACCTATAAACAAGACTGAGTTATTGCCTGACCCCTCCCCGAAATATTGTTGAAAAATGGCAGTAGTTCAAATTTTGGATCACATCTTTGGGTGGTTTCCTCTGCTTCACATCTCCTGAATTTGTTGTTAGAAAGAAGAAGAAAAAAGCGTTTTGCCATAGTCTGTATGAAAACCGAAAAGTTTGTGAATTTGAATCACTAGCCACAGTATGTACAAGAGAAATGTCTTAATGTAAATAAAAAACAAACTCCGTGGTTTTAGTCAGCAAGTGAACTGTACCGTCCAAGTGACCACCACTTATCGGCAGTGTTCGTGTCATGTGAGACAGATATGTGAGTGGATAAAAATACTCCTGGATGCAGGAATTAGATGAAATGCATCTGCTAATATACAGAAAAGAATCTTCATTCATTTAAGAGAAGGAAACTAATGAACATTAAAAGTGTACAAAGTTCAGTCATTTGAGAAGAGTTTTGAGTTAAAAAAAGAAAGAAGAAGAAGAGATATTGAAATAGTATTATATCAACAACAGGAAACCCATGTTGTGCAATAACAGCGATTTCATACGTAAGTAAGACCTGGTGAAGAAAATGTTGGTTCTCACTTTGGTATACAGTTCTGAATCGTGGGTCATGAAAACCAAATGCAGACAATGGAAATGAAAACTTACATGGTAATGGATTATAAAAGTGAAATTTAACAGTTTAAAATTCAGATAATAATTAAATTGAACATTCACAATTTAAAGGATTGCTAGTAAGTACTTTACTGATGATGAACCACGAAACATTCTCACTGATGTCCTCATAACAAATTGAGGAAGTAAAAATTATACAACTCAGTAAAAAAATGTAAGTGGACACCAAAGAAAAATATGAAGGCATTCGACTTTGTGAAACACTCATGTTTTTAACAGGAAAACAGTTAACCATCAGACCCTTATTCCAGCATGGATTTTGCAGAAAAGTGTCCAATTATAGTTGTTTTCAGGAATTCTTTGTCCTCTTGAAAGCAAATAAACGAATAAGAGTCTGTCTTAGAGAACCATAACACAGTGTATTTCTGAAGTTACTGCCATACTTTTTAAGAGCAGTTTATTGAAACTATCAGCAAACTAGTTATATCTTAGGGCTTATGCCCTTGACCACCATCTAAATATTAGACTGACAGTTGTGAAATGGCAGCTTATCCCAGGTATTGTAAATCAGATTTTCATATCTTGAAAAATATTTCACCAAATAAGTAAAAACTGTATACTCACCATACCAAGATAGTGCTTAAAAATTTAGTGTTTATGTGAATACTAAAAGTTTCGTTTATGACCTTTTCAGACTGTAGGTATAAAATCTCAACCCGAGTCTAAGTGTCCCGAATTACTAGCCAACTACTGTGATATGCTGCTAAGGAAAACACCTCTTAGTAAGAAACTTACCTCTGATGAAATAGAAAGCAAATTGAGGGATGTGGTAAGCAATCTTGTAATTCTAAAATTTAAGGTATACACACTATTAATGGGCAAACCTGTTTACAGTGGAACCCCCAGTTGATATTCTTCAGTTTAAGGTTTTTTTTTTCTCATTTAACATTTCATTTTCAATCATCCCATGTCAGTAATCTCAGTGATAAATTCCCCCCATTTGAAGTTTTTCTCAGTTTAGTCTTCAGTTCTGCTGCTTCCCAAAGAAACGTTAAATGGGGATTCACATTGTATACAGCAATAAAGTCTCAGTTTTATATGCATAAATGTGCAGTATGGCCTTCTGGATCTTACCACCTGCTTCACCTAATTTCTTGTTTGGCTTACTTTTTGATTTTGAAGATGGAGGCAACATGTTTCTTCTAAATGTCATGTTTCTTCTAACTACACAGCAATACAACCCAGAAGGCTGTATGCTCTTTGTTATCATTGCCGGTGTTTTTCTTCTGAGTTGTTTGTTTTAGCTGAGATTTCATTTTAGGAGTATTGTATTTCAGTGTCATATTGTTTGTCAACAATTTATTGTTGGTTCCAACACCACAATCCATGTGTAAACTTTATGTATTATTTCACAACATGATTTGGCTCCTTATGGCCATCATCAAGTAAAATATTTACACTTTCTGTCTACTCTGCTGCTATTTTCCCATACATTGTCCATTGTTTACAATTGGAGAGATCATGTGTTTTATTCATTAACGTTAATGCCAACATGAAAAAACTACATGCAAAATATTAAATCATTAAAATATTTCATTTGTTGTAGTGTTATTAAATATTTTTTTTTTTCTGGATTTCTGGATCATTGCAGAAATGTCTTCTCTTCGGTGCTGACGTATAAAATTATATCTTAAAATATTAATGTTTTTATTGTTGTAGATGGTGTTATTAAATAGTGTTTTTTTTGGTCACAGCAGAAGTGGTATTCTCTTGTATGATCTGAAACATTGGTTTTGTGTTGGCTTAAAGATTTACATGTTCCACTTGATATATGGGTGTTTGTTGGGCATGATTATGTTTTTTTCTTTTGTAAGTTGATCTAGTTGTGGCAGGTGTTGTGTCTGGCTGAGTAGCTGTGTACAAACTGGGACTGTAGTTTTTTAATTGAAGTTCCTGCACATGCCTGCTTATTAATTACCTTTCTTACGTTTTTTGATGAAGATGATAAAAACTGTGCATATTTCAGACATTTTCATAAGAATTTTTATTTTTACAGCTATTAGTACTAAAATATGTCCAGAACAAAGATGTTTTTATGAGATACCATAAAGCTCATTTAACACGACGTCTAATCCTTGATACTTCAGCTGATTCTGAAAAAGAGGAAAATATGGTTGAGTGGTAAGTATGAAGGAAATAAGCGTATTGTAAAATAATTGAGTGAATCTCAGTGTGTTTGAAAGTGAGGGAACCAAAGTTGGACTTTGAAGTAAACAGATTTTATTAGTAAAGTTTACTGCTTGGTGCTAGTAACTTTTTTTTCTGCTAGTGAAAATATGTATTTGTAAGATGTGATAACTTCTTTTTCTCTCACCAGATTGTCAAAGTAATTAAGCAATTCAATTATTTTAGTATAGTTGGTTTTTAGAAAGTCCAAGGCAAAGAACAGGAACTTTTGTTAGTATGTATTAATGGAGTCCAGTAAACAGTGTGAAATAAGATTTTATTTAATATAAAAATGTCCTATTTTGATGTTACTGTATGCTAGACCCTCCAGTTGACTTCAGTTCTGTGTGTATTATTCTGTCTGTCAAGTTACATGGTTTCATATACCATTCAATTGACAGTGAACAGGAGGAAGCATTGCCAATTCTTTTTGTTCGATAGGAAGCAGAGATGATAGCCATTCTAGCCCCGTGGAATTTCTGGTTTCAGTAAGGAGAACCAGATGAGAGACAGAAATGGTTTGTCTTGCTCAGTAAGACATCAGATACAGTTAAACAAGTGACAGCCTAAGCCCATAAATTAACTTGTGTCTAAATTTTACTAAGAGAGACAGGTATTCAATATGTGATTCAGATGTTTAAATGGTAATCATGTGATGAATAATTATTATCTGAGCTTGTACTCTTGTCCATTTAGGGTCTGAGAAGATGAAATAATGTATAACTATTTACAAAGCAAAATAGTGACGTATTAGTGTCATAAGTCATTACTGTATATATGCTGTCATTCTCTTAAAGGCTTAGAGAAGTTGGTATGCCAGCAGATTATGTAAATAAACTAGCCAGGATGTTCCAAGATATTAAAGTTAGTGAAGATCTGAATCAACAGTTCAAAGAGCAATACAGGAGCACAAAAGGTAGTATAGCAGGTGAGTAAATATATGCAATGAAATGTGTATATGGTAATTGTCATTTAATCCATTTTGATTAATTTGAAGAATTTTCCATGTAATCATACATGACATATTCCACATTTAAAGACATGGTGTTGATTATATATGAGTTTCTTCTTTCATAATAATGCATCTCTTGTCATTATTTATATAATTTCTGGCCATCATCTGTGTTTCATCATTTTGTGTGTTCATGTCCTTTGAATTTGTTAGCTGATTTTGATGAATGTTGGAATGAAGTTCTTGGAGGCTAAACCGCTATTATTCTAACACCAAAAATAATATGACTGCATGAAACTTAAATTTAGTTTTAGTTTCTTGAAAAAAAAAAAACTCAAGACTATGATGCAGGAAGCAAATGAAGCATTAGGAACACAAAAAGCAAATAGAACATTAATAGTCAGAAATCTTGTTCTGTGAGGAGCCATGGAGTTGGCAGAAGTAAAAAGAAAGCATTTTTGAAGGTTAAAGAATGGCAGACAGAAGTAAAATTTCACTCATTCATGGAGCTGAGCCCTTCTTGAGAAGCCGCCAATTGTGCAGCTACTCAGGAACTTCCCAGCATTTTATGGAACCTGAAGGTTCATTACAGTGTTCACAAGAGGCTTCCACTTGTCCCTATCCTTAGCCAGATCAATCCAGCCCATACCATCCCATCCTATCTCTCTAAGATCCATTCTAATATTGTCCACCCACCTACGCCTTGGTCTTCCCTGTGGTCTCTTTCCTTCTGGCTTTCCCACCAATATCCTATATGCTTTCCTCATCTCCCCCATTCGTGTTACATGCCTTGTCCATCTCATCCTTCTTTACTTGATCATTCTAATTATACTCAGAGAAGAGTACAAGTTATGAAGCTCTTCACTGTGCAGTTTTCACCAACCTCCTGTCACTTCATCTCTCTTCAGTCCAAATAGTCTCCTTGACATCCTGTTCTCAAACACCCTCAGTCTATGTTCCTCCCTTAATGTCAGAGACCAAGTTTCACACCCATACAGAACCACAGGCAAAATAATAGTTTTGTATATTCTATTTTTTATGTTTTGGACAGAAGACAAGAAGACTAAACGTTCTGGACTGAATGGTAGCAAGCATTACCCGAGTTCAGTCTCCTCTTAATTTCCTCCTCAATCAGGGACTATAAAGTAGTCAGATATGAAGTTCATTCTTGGACTAAGAAAATCGAAGAAGATTGTTGAGAAACACATACCAAAAAATTCCAGGAAGACTGTTATGTGCATTTTGTAGGAAATCTGTTAGATTGAAAAGTATTGTTGTGAAAATGCTATGCAGCTTTCAGATTATGTTTTCTAATTTCTGGGTATGGAACTCTGAACTGACTTAGGATATATATCAGAGTAAGTCCCTAAACCAGATACTTCGTGATTCTAGTTTTCATGTATTTGTTTTAGTGTGTTGACTTCGATTCTAGCAGTACCATAAGCCTGTTGAGTGTATTCTTCAAGGATTCTCCAGTCACGTCTTAAAGATACCAATGATATATTATTCTTTGTGTGAAGTTCAAAATCTTAATAAGATCACACTGTTAGAAATATATTCACACCCAAATAGATAACTCAGATTTACCAAACAAAAAGTGTAGAATTGAAGTTACAAGGAAAAGTTTCCTGGCACATGATGTTTGTTCTTCTGGTTTTGTTTTGTCTTACAAATATTTCTTTTAATTCATCTGTTTGTGTTATTGAAATGAAACATGGAGGAGTCTCTGTTTGTGTATAAGTCAGCAGTGTTGCCAAAACAAAATATCTCAGTGCTAATTCTTCTTTTCAGAGTCAATTAATATCAAGATTTTGAATGCGGGTGCTTGGGCTAGAGGTAGTGAACGGGTCACAGTTTCTCTTCCTCTAGAACTTGAAGATTACATACCAGAAGTTGAAGATTTCTACAAGAAAAAACATAGTGGCAGGAAGCTCCAGTGGTATCATCATATGTCCAATGGAACAGTGTGTATTGTTTGCAGGATACAATTTATGAGGGAAATAAATTTATAATTGTAATGTTCCATATGCACACATTAAGAAAAGTCTCTGGTCCAAAATTATGTTTGCAGATCTTTTAACTTACTCTCAGTTCTTAGGAGAGAACAGTAGGCTTGTCAGATAACATTACAGTTCTTTTAACCACATGGCTAATTGACAATATTTGAAAACATTTTAATGTAAAAAGTATAATTTATATAAGTTTTCATAATATTATTTGATCACTGCAACCCTTTGCAGAACGTAATGGTCCCATCCCCAGAATTGACTAAAGGGACATTATAGAGGACTGCAAGACTGTAAAGATACAGTCTGAGCTTATTAGTAATAAACATTAATATGTTAATATTTAATTATCAGGTGGCTATGAGCAGCCTTGATGTGTACTGATGGCTTAACTCTCAAAGTAGCATGTGTTGAAATCTTGACATAATGCAGATACTTGTAACACCCAGGTAGCAAATTGTTACCTTTACATAAATAGCTGTATCTGACAGCTTGTGACATTTCTTTTCAATGGCCCTTCCAGCCCATTCATGGCCCTGGCCTCTTATTCAATTCCTTAATCGTTTTTCACAGTTGGTAGAACTCCTTAGATGAGTGATCAGCTCATCGCAAGGCCTCTACCTAAACACAAGACAACTCAAACACAGAATAAATGCATATACACACCAAATATCCAATGCCTTAAATGGGATTCAAACTCATGATTCCAGCGTCTGAGCGAGTGAAGACAGTTCATGCCTTAGATCGTGTGGCTACTGTTACTGGCCTTGTGATAACTGTTGGCATTTTATCTGAACTGGAATTTTTTCCCTGCATCTGATGGTCTTAGGTCATTTTTTAATAAACTGCCTTAGTAGACTGTACAGTACAGTACAGACCTTGGGGAAGAAGGTGGTTCAATCAGCAGCGAGACTTGAAGGAGGCCCTACAGGCCTGAACCATGACAGTACAGAAGAAGGAGGAGGAGAGGGGAGTTTTTATATATAGTATTTACCTATGAAAAAAGGGCTTCTGTTTTAATTTTACACATAACTTGGCAATGCAGGATTTGAAGCTGGTGCTCCTGTGTTTAATATAATAACCACAGATTGGACAGAGGGAGCACAGACCGTGCCATTGATTTGCTTTTCATGTACAAAGATAGCCTGCAAAACATTGCAAACAGTTCAATGCAGTGGTGAGCGCCTAGCCTTGGGCCATGTAACACCTCTGTCAGTTGAGTATAAGACCCCAGTACGTATTATAATTGCATGACTTTTTGGTGACTCTATAGAACGGACAGTTAGTTTGAACAGTTCTTGGCTTTATAGTTATATTTTATTTTTGCAGATAACATTTGCTAATGCAGTAGGAAGATTTGATGTCGACGTGACAACATTCCAAATGGCAGTACTCTTTGCATGGAATCAGCGCCCCGTTGATAGAATTTCTTACGAAAATTTAAGGTTAGCAACAGAGCTACCTGATCCAGAACTCCGAAGAACATTATGGGTATGTTAAGCTTGTGTGTGATTCAAACCAACCTCTATAATAAGGAATGCTAGAACAGTTTGTTCCTTCTGAACTGCCAAAAGTGTAGGAATTTTCATCTCAGGTTGCTTATATCTGTACTGTGGGGTTGTTTATGCATTTAAACACAGCTTACCCTCACAAAAGGCAACTTAGGCCCTCATATACATGTATATAATGCTTCACTGAGTAGCTGTCAGGTGCATATGATGTGTTATTTGCAATAAAGTTTCAATTTTTTAAAGGATAAAGTAGCGTGTAATCACATTCTTCCACATTTCTCCCTGCTTTTTCATTCATAACCATTTAGTGTTGTATTACCTTAGAAGTTGATACAGTGTCATAAAGTAATCGCATAAATAAACTAAGTACTCTTCATGTCAGTTAGTTTGTTCCGCAAACAGTAAAACAGATTTATGGGAGAAAGAAAAAATATACTAAATCAGATACATTTTTTGCATTAAACTTGAATAAGACAGAAAACTAATCCTTTTGTATATGTGATATTAGAGCTGAGTGACTGACAGCTTCTCAAGAAGAACCCTCCTCCACGGAGTTATTTAGTTAATTAGGTACGTATTATAGCAGCCTTACACAGTGCCCCAAGAAGGCCTAATGTGTTGTGTCAAATAAAGAGTAAGTATGTAATAGAATTTTAGAACTAAACCAAATGGCAAACTCCACGGAGCAGAATTTTCCTTGAAGAACTAACAGCCAATCAGCTAGTCAAGAAATACCCTGTCTTCTCTGTAAACCAGAGGTTTATAAGGTATAAATACTGTATGGCAAGCTGCGCCTATTGACAGACTCTAACTGCCATAACATCTTTGGTTTGATTTTCTGAAATATTTTTATGTCTTAATAAAATGTAATCATTTTGTTCGGTTTCTCTCTCACTTTGGGGTGCATGGTAGCATAGTTACTTGAGGCACTATGCTGCAAGCCAGAAGGTAATGGGTTCGAACCCTGATGAGGTGGATTTTTTTTTCAATTTACCCAATCCTTCCAGCCGCACTGTGGCCTTGGGGTTGACTCAGCCTCTAACAGGAATGAGTACCAGGAATCTTCCTGGGGGCATAAAGGGTGGCCAATGTGTAAGGCTGACAACCTTACAGCCATCTGTGAGCTGATTGTCCGGAGAAGATGTGGGAACCTCATCATCTCACAACCCTATGGGCCTTCACATGCTGTTACAGGGATAACTTTACTGTTTATCTTTACCTTCTCACTTTGGGTTGGGGTGGGGTCATGCCAACTCTATTTGCTCCATTTTTTCATACCTTTAACTCTAATAGTTAACAATATTTATGTATAAAGGACTGAAGGTAGTTTCACATTTATTGGCCATGGACTGTACTGCTGTAATGGCACGTGGTTAGTCCAACTGGCTCTGACTGTTTGTCTGTGTGCGTGCTTGTGTTGTATATATTTTTGTAACCTGATTTATCTGAATATATGGTACTTCTTTGATTCCAGTCTCTAGTGGCATTTCCAAAATTAAAAAGGCAAGTTCTTTTGTTTGCTCCTGAAGTTCAGTCTCCAAAGGATTTTGATGAAAATACAATATTCTGGGTAAACCAGGAATTTGCACTGGTGTAAGTGTGTATGTTTTCAATATTATATTTAAGCATCCTGTTGCACTCTACACGATAAATGATACAAACTCCGTCCTAAGTGCAAACAATATATATTTATATGTCTTTGATCTTGTTCTTTCTACACTACATGTTTCGGCCTCTATCGGCCATCATCAGGTGTATAGACGTTAANGTAAGTGTGAAGATATACTTCCGCTCTCCCATGTGTCTTCATGATGTGGTGCTTAATTAAACAGCAGGATAACCACCTTTTACTAGGATTCATTTTTCATAGTATAATAAGTTTCAGGTTAAACATATGTTGAATGAAATTGGTCATTAATTGGTTATTAATTAGACTGATCATTCTGGTCATTAGGACTATGAACTGTACTTTTTATTATGTGCAGTAGTGATAAAAATTTTCAGATTGAATTTGTTTCCTTTGTACATCACATTTAGTGGCTATTTTGTGCTTTCTCTTCAAAGTATAATGCAGCATCAATATAACAAGTGTTTATAAAATTTGTAAGAATGCTTTTTTAATGAATACATGTAGTATCTGAAAATGGTTAAAATTAAGTCCATTAAGCTGACAACTTTATCTTTGCAGCAAAAATGGAAAGCTACAAAAACGTGGGAAAGTGAACTTAATTGGTAGATTACAGTTATCAACAGAGAGAAGTAAAGAAGAAGATAATGAAAGCATTGTTCAGCTCAGGATACTTCGAGTCCAGGTCAGATGTACATTTTTGTGTACATAATGTATAAACATAATTATGTTTATATGCACTATATTTCTTACATAGGCTGTAGTGTTTACTCTTTTAGTGTATAAACATAAAAACTCATATAATTAACATATTCTTGTTATTTTATACAGAAACCGAAGGATATATATGAAAGCCCACCTTTACAGAGTTATATGTAATACTGTGGCATATTTGCTCAAAGCAAGAACTGTGGAGCCAGAGAAACAGCTGTTTCTAGTAAATGGCTCTGCAACAGCATTTTTTTCTAGGCAATAGCCGTGAAACAAACAATGGAACAACATCCATTGCTAAGCAGCAGTTCATAATAAGCAACAATTGAACAGCCACAAAAGAACAGTGTTTTCTGTGCTGTCTGTGCCAAGGTGCTATAACTGGGACAGTTTGGAGTATCGAGTTGAAAGTCAGGCCATGATGAGAAGACTAGGAGGTTGGTGTGAATTGGCCACCAGCCTGGGAGCTGATTAGTTGAAAGTCAGTCTGTGAAGAGAAAACTAGGAGGTTGGTGTGAACTGGCTGCCAGCCTGAGAGTTAGTCAGTTGGCAGCCACTCTGTGAAGAGAAGACTTAGTTGGTGCAATTAGTATCAGACAGTAAGGATGTAAGCGGACAGTGTTAAAATCCTTTACCAGGAAATCAGTAGTGAAGTCTGAGAAGACTTTATGTGTGCTGTAGTTACATTGTTATTTGGAGTGTGTAATTCCATGAGTCTGTTATAGTTACTTCTAGTTACGATCTGCAAGTGGTCACTGAATCCAATATCCAGTCCAAAATCATGTCGAGAGTCACTTTAAATTGTGATGGCTGGTGTCAGAAGTGGTTGGATTTGAATCACTCCCCAACACATGACATAGAGACCACAGTAAGAAGTTATATCGCCACACTATGGAAGGAAAACAAATGATGGCATACCTACTGGCTGAAATCAGAACCAGCCAAACAGAAACGGATGTCAACCAAGTAGAAATGAAACCCTTCCAAGAAATGCTGGCCAGAATGAAAGCTAACAAAGCAGAAATGCTGGCCAGGATGGAAGCCAATACAGAAACTAATCTCCACAAAATTAAAGAAGAAATGAAAACTGGCCAAGCGGAAATGAAAGCCACAGTAAGTGTCAACTTATGAGAGATGAAGTCCTCGCAAGAAAAGATGGTCTATCCAGAGAAGTGGGAGGAAAATCCAGAAAAAATGAAGTTTGTAGCAGATCATCAGGAAGTCCCTAAAGAAGAGGCTGCAGTGAAAACTATCAGAGTGCTGAAGGAGTGCAGGCACGGTAGCCCTGCCTCTTTCCCCCTGACACAGTCCTAATCTGGCTTTTGCCTGCTACCTACTGGCCCATTTCCAGCCTCTCCTGATTTTCCATGTAGCCCACTCTCCCTCACTTCCTGATCNGCTGGCCCATTTCCACAGACCCTTCCCCTCTCCTCTCCTGATTTTCCATGTAGCCCACTCTCCCTCACTTCCTGATCTTATATAGCTATGTGTTTTTCAACTGGTGACTCAGTCTGCAGCCACCCGCTCAAGCTGGCTTCTCTCCCCTGAAGATGGACACGATACGTTCCTCTGAAATGTCAGTTCACGTGATCTACACGGTGCCACATCCCAGAAGATGGCATTCTTCGTAGTCACCGCCGTGAAGCCCTCAAATCTTACAAACTAATAATTGTGCAGTGTTGAGAAAATAGCAGTTTTGAGGCCTGTCTGTGGTAATGTTGGTGAGAAAACTATGGTTGTGTATGAGGCTTGAACATAAAGAATTCTTCTTTACAAGTAGTTTTTTCTTTGAATTTTCCAATGAGAAGGATGATCATCATATAGTCATAAATACAGTATATTTACAATTTTCATGGCATAAGAGTGTTATTTAGTGCTCATACTTTACAGTAAATGTTGATAGGTATCATGCACCTTCAGAATGAATGCAACACAGAAAAAAAACATGTTTCTGTATCTAGTACTTAATTAATCTGTTCAGTAAAACTGAATGAGTTCACTGCACAATGAAATACAGAAGATTACAGATTTTGTAGATTAGTATGATGCAATTACTTTAATATGCCCTCAGAGTAAGAATATTTTAAACCACATTGTAAATATCATCAGTAAATTGTGCCCTGAAAGAATCGGAATTTATTAACTGACTGTGAGGTTATGTACCTAGGTTAGAATTGCTTATGAGAAGACCAAATATTTCTCCATGATAGAAAATCTTTCATGTTTCAGCCAACATTCATACAATTTTCCTTGCTCCTTTTTTGATATATTTACATTGCTCAAAATATGATACATACAGCTTAGCTGGAAGAAGCCACTTGTGAAACCTAGGTGTAGACCATAGGATATTAAAATAGATCTAAAAAATAGTAGGGTATAAAAATATGAACTTGATTCTTCTGCCTCATTATTGGGTCCAGTGGCAGAGTTAGCTGATTATATGTGTACAGTCTGTCATTTATATTCCTCCAGTTTAGAATTGAAAGGAGTTTATTGTATTATTGAGAAGTATCATATCTTTTATCTTTTGAAATCAGAAACAGAATTATACAAATCTCATGCCGATATCCATATTAAAGAAAAATGTTTTTACAGGAAGCAATTATCAAGATCCTCAAGATGCGGAAACGAATCACCAATGTTCAGCTTCAAACAGAACTGGTGGATATCCTGAAAAATATGTTTCTTCCCAGTAAGAAAATGATAAAAGAACAAATAGAGTGGCTTATTGAGCACAAGTATATGAAACGAGATGAGGATGATATCAACACATTCATTTACATGGCCTGAAACTACCTTCTTTTCTTGTGCCTCAAAAGTGTTGCCAGGTAGAATGCTTATTGTGAAGGGTAATCGACGGTCCAGAGTGAACAAAACAGAGATGCAAAATAAAGGCATTTTATACCAGCTGTGCTAAGTATGCTTGATTATTCAGCATGTTTGACAGCATCCAGAAAGAGTGAAGCATTGTCAGCAACTGTTACTGCTTTCTTAAGACTGACCCACAAAAGAAACACGATGTTATTCATAATAAAAGGAAGTTGCAACAGCAAAATGAAATGTTAATATTGTTTGATTAAATTTTCCACATGGAAATACATGCTATGTTATATGTATATAATATTTCTAGATTTTTTTTTGTAATATATTCAGGATAAACTTATTATGAACGTCAGTAATACTGATATTGTTTGTAACATTTGGTATGGTAGGAACTTTCTTGTGGAATATTTCTAGTACTTGGGCCCTGTCGTGATTTGGGTCACAGAGTTAATATTGCAAGTGAATGACATCATCTTAGAAGTGCCAAGACAGTAACCCAATTTGATTTGTGAGGCCAGGGTGTACAAATAGTTTCCTTTCAGAACACATCATGGCGCACAGTGCATTAATATTTTTATTAATAATCAGACTATCTTCCTTCATGTAGATGGGATAGTCTTTAAATTGGAGAACATTTGGTATAAAGGAAAATTAATCTGTGTTGTATTAAATATTAGCTAGAAGCATTTATTAGAATAAGAGACACCAGGTATACAAGCAGAATGTAAACATTAATGAACCCCTCCACACAAACTTCTAGCAGACCTCGCTCAGGAGATTTGCTGTGTGATGCTCATCTTTCATGTATACTTGCAAGTCATTATTCTGATAAGATTCTCTGAAGTTATGTATTCTAACAAATTTTGATCACATGTGTAACACTCTGTGCTAAGTTATTCTTGAAAGAGAGAAGCAACGCAAATTGGATAATAATGTCAATGAGTATGAATTACTGAGCAATATAAGATTCTAGTTGTGAAGGTATATATTAGTCTACTTTATGTGTTTGATTTTCTGTACTGATTTATATGTTTAATTTAGAAGAAATGCAATGTGAAACATTTTCAGTAATGTACAGCTTGATAAGATTGGGCTTGAGGTTTATGTTGAACACCACGTAAGCACACGTGAGCCGAGATCTTCAAACTATTTGCTTGAAGTAATTACATGCTCATTATCTGTAAGTCAATCTAAAACTTAAATTGTGGTGAATAAATATGCATCTGTGCTAGAAAGTATACTACATTATTTTTCAGACAAGACACAGTTGCAAGGTGTTATGTATTTCTTGCTATGTAGGAGTATGATCATTAAGAGATAAGCTCTTTTGTTTGAATATACTACTTATGACTGATATAATACTTTTATAATGCGTGAACGCTGACCACCAAAGAAAAATTTGATGACCTTGGAACACGCATATTTCTGTCAAAAATGTCCAACAATATTTTTGCTTTTGATCTTTCATTTAAGCTGAGATCCGAGCTCATGCTCCCCTCTGTCACATATGCTGAATAAATCTCTATTTGCAATGGAACTGAAGTTCATGGGTGGACTCTCACGGCTTGATTAACTGCTTATAGTGATCTTTGACATGAGCCTTACCAAAATGCCCACTTTTGTTTCTACATACTAAAAATATTTATTAATTTATTGAACTAAAGAATTTTATTTTGTTCCCAGTGAATATGAACAGAACAAGAAACACATTATTTGATTATGTTGAGAGATGTTCTGACCTTATAGTTGTATAAAGTCATTGTTAAAATCACATCAGTGTATATTTATTATAATTGTTACTTCAATAGGAAGGAAAGATATAAGGGTTTTATGTTTATTTATGTTTTTTACATTTATATGCATGAACAGTTTGTAAAAATATTTCCTTTGTTGGTCAAAATACCATACAATGAAACAGTGAGGTAAAGTCCCATACAATCTCAGGTCTCTTGAGTATAGAAAGTTGTTGAAAACGACTACAATTTACTTGTATCTCCCAGGAAATAGGTCAATTTGGAGAAGTTACTGCATCAAAATTTTTATAGCAATATATTTTTTGTAGTATAAACTGCTAGTTTATCTGCATGCACACATTTAAACCATTTTTCTTTATTTCATCTGACCACTCTGTAGTTAGAATACGAGCTGGGATAGCGTAGTCTGTATAGCAACTAGCTATGGGCTGGACAACTGAGGGGTCAGAGTTTGAGTCCCAGTAGGGTCAAGAATTTTCTCTTCTCCACATTGTCCAGACCGGCTCTGGGGTCCAATCAACCTCCTATCCAATGGGTACCAGGGGCTCTTTCCCAGGGGTAAAGCAGCCAGGGCGTGAAGTTGATCACTTACCTACAGCTAGTGCCAAAGTCAAGAAAATGTGGATCTATTTATCCACTCCCCCATACACCTTCATGGCATAATGCTTAATTAGTTAAGCACAGGGACACCTCCCCCCCCCTTGAAGTAGTTGGAAAGGTACTGCCAACACATTTATTAGCTGTGCATCCTATTGGAATAGCACATGTGGGCAGTCCAGCTGGCCAAGGGGTTGCATTTTTGCAATAATATCATCATACCCAAGTTAGGATTTGCCCACTAGCCCATAATTACTGGGAGATTTATAATCCCTGTTCATGGCCACTAAAGGTTAATACCAGTAATTTTAAAAATAAAAACTGTAACAAAATTCATTGATCTGAATTACTGTTCTGAAATTTTTGCATACTAGCTTGCCCAGTCAACTCATCTTACTGAGCTGCTGACTGTACTTTTCAAGCCTTGCCTGTGTTGGTGTGCAAGATACGTATTTTGGTAAGTTGTGCAGGAGCATGTTTTATCAGACCCATTAAACAGTAGCAATGAATGAATATCAGAACTCTTTCACTGCTGATTTCATTCATGGAAAGGTTTTATATTTTACAATGTTCAGTATGTCCACAAAGTGGTATCAGTACATGCATATGTGAATGAAATTATGAGAAAAATTTGAAAGAAAGCAGTACAAATAGGAGGATAGGTACTAAGCCCTTCAGTAACAAGATTGAGGAGAGCCAGATCTGTTAAGTCCAGTACTTGAGTAATAGGATAATTGCATGAGGTTGATGCAGGTAAACTTGAAATCTGATATCTCTATATCACACTTGTGAAATACAGTCAAGAAATAAAATCCATTTTCGCTGCACATTTAAGCGATCTGTAGATACTAAATTTGTGCCACTCCATTAAAAAGGTAATGAAAACATTGCAATTTCCCTTATAGAGAAGCAGTATGTTGCATTAGGACTTTTAGTAAACAGGAGAGATTATTTATTAGTATGATTCAAATTAATTTTGTTTTGCTGGAATTGAATCACTACAGCTTCAAAGCATTCCGTACCATTCATTATTGATGTTAATCCTTAAGTCATCTGCCTGCTCTGTGTACCTTCTGTATAGTGTATGTTGTAGTGCAAAGTGAAGACATTTAAAGTTGCTCCATTTTTAAACACTTGTGAAATGAAGTCAGCGACATTTTCTCACAGGTTTTTGTTGAGGATTCTTTATTCCAATCATAAATGCCTTGATTCAATTTTATGAAACCACCAAATGCCCTGAATTGCCAGATATCTGTTCCAAATCTTGATTGAGCTATTCTGACAAAGGTTTGTGTTTTCCTTGGTATCTCTCGGTAGATGGGACAATACAATTTCTTTAGTGGAGTTCGTCACAACACAACAATATAAAAGTCAAGACTAAAATTAGCTTGGCTACATGTTTAAACTATTAAAGCCATCATCAGGCAAACACATGATTACCATATTCACACACTACTGAACTGCAATTGTGATGGTAAAGCTGGATACTTGATAATAATTACATTATAAAATACATGGTGTAAAAGTACAATGAACTACATATAATAATAAGTTTATAATTCATTGTACTTTCATACCATGTATTTTATAATGTAATAATTATCAAGTATCCAGCTTTACCATCACAATTGCAGTTCAGTAGTGTGTGAATATGGTAATCATGTGTTTGCCTGATGATGGCTTTAATAGTTTAAACATGTAGCCAAGCTAATTTTAGTCTTGACTTTTATATTGTTGTGTTGTGACGAACTCCACTAAAGAAATTGTATTGTCCCATCTACCGAGAGATACCAAGGAAAACACAAACCTTTGT